GCCCCGCCCCAGCCCCAGCCAGCCCGGCTGCCCGCCCTTTCCCACACACCGGCTCAGGGAGGTTGAGAACTGGTGAGTCCGCATTTTTAAAATGCCTCTTTTATTTCCTTTCCTTCCTCCAGATACCAGAGATGAGACTGAGGTTTCTCGAGGTTCCTAAACTCAGTCCGAGCTGTCAGGTAATTACAGGGTAGCAGTCAGGCAGCGCCCAGGCGGGCAGGGAGCGTCAGTCAATCTCTCAGGAGGAGGCTCCGGTGTGGGTTAAACTTTAACAGTTCAAGGTGCAGGGAGAGTCGACCACGTTCTCGCTGACCCCGCCGCGCGTTGGGTTTCTGCGGTCTGCCCGGCACACATCTGGGGGCTCGCTCGGTGCCCGCCCACTGCTGTAAACAAGGTAGGTGAAGCGCTGGGCGCCAGGCATGGCGCTGACACTTGATCCCGCCTGGACTCGCCCTGGACGGGCGTGAGGAGCACTCTGAGGCTGCTTGGAGCATGGCCTGGCTGGCTTTGGGTGCTCTGAGCTCAGTTTTGGGTGTTGCCCAGGGTGGCTTCTGTAGAGATCCCCATAACAGGTGTGCAGTGAAAAGGGTCCCTGAGTCGGGGGCCCTGCCGTGCCCTGGGGAGCTGTTGGTGCCAACTGGACTTTCTGGGTCATGTCCCTTGGTGCAGGGACGTCAAGGAGTTGAGCGAGCTAGCGAGCGGCTCCCCTGATTCCTGGTGGAAGCCGGATTGCTGGGGCTGGAGAGCCCCTGGGACCCCTTGCTGAACTTCCAGGAGGCAAGTGGCAGGGACGGAGTTAGGAGGACAGGACTCTTCAGTGAGATCGCTTCAGGAATCTGCTGTCTGTCACTGCTGACCTGCAGGGACAGGTTTAGCTTTCTAGTCTGTCCCTCTGGCCATTATGTCTAAGGCTCTCCAGGTACAGAGGGGACGCAGAGGCCCAGAGAGGGCACATAGAAAGTTCCTTTTCTTTCCCCTTCCACCACTAGGCTGGCAGAGCAGCGCTTTCCAAGGTCTCCCTGCTTCTGGGGTTCTCTGGGGCCAGGCTGGGAATGACCCTGGGAGTCCCCAGGAAAAGCAGTGGGTCAGGCAGACCTACTGTCTGAAAAGGGCAGAATATAGGGTCCACCCCACAAGGTTTCCAGAGAATTATAAGTCTAATGTGAATGAGTATGGCTTTTCTGGTTAAAAGAGGGAGAGAAGGAAAACAAAAACATTTTCCCTTGGAAAACCTAAAAGCAAAAAAAATTTTTTTAACAGAACTGAAAAACCACAGGGAAAAAAGTCAGCATTTTGTATAGATCGTTACAGTTTTGTGTGTGCATCTGTGTATTTTTTAAAATGAGTATTATGACCACACAGACTTTAATCTACTTAGAAGTTTAAGACACGCGTCAGCTAAACTGTATGAAATGCAGGCATGGGGTCTGCTGATGGGGAGCATCTCCGTCCTGGCCTCTCCAAGTGCCCACGCTTCATTTCCCCCCTCCAAAGTTTGAAGGCAGTAGGTGGGTCCGCCCTGGGGACTTGAATACCAGTTTTGTGTGACCCCAGGCACATCCTTAACCCTTCTGGACCGCCAGTTCTTCCCCTGGGGTTATGAAGAGCTGGGGGGCAATGGTGATCATCAGACATACACTTCCTGTATGTCTGGTATCAAGTAGGCAACTTGATATGTCTCCTCCCTTCTGGTCCTCACCACATGACTTTAGGGTTGGCTTATTATCCCCCCATTTTACTGACAAGCAAATTGAGGCTTGGGAAGGACCTGGGAAGCATTTGCCCAGTGGCTGCAGTCAAATGGAATCGAATCCCAGGGCAGTGGGTCCACAGTTTGCCAACCTGTCAGTCCTACAGGCTGCGGTGAAGGGGTAGATGGGGATGGGGTTTGCTCAGTCAGCACGGCTCTGTGTCAGAGCCCAAGGGGATGCTCTTTAGCTGGTCTTGAGGATGCTTTGTGGGGACAGCAGGGGCCAGGCCACCCACTGAGGGTTTGGTCTTAGTGAAGACAGGGCAGAAATTGCCACCTAGAGGCAGCCTGGGTAATAAAGCTGCAGCCCTGGGGTGCACCTCCCAGGGTGGCATCAGCTTCTTAATGCTGCTGTCTCTAGAGAGAGCAAGAGTGCATCCCCAAAGCCACTGTGGAGAGGGGATCCCCCTGCAGGGTCGTGGGTGCCCTTCAGAAGAGAATCTGGGTGGCTTTTGGTGAGAAAAGGCAGTGCCTGCCCCCACCAGGCCTTCCTTGCACTAGGGCAGGGGCGTGAGGGCGTGTGAGGTGCTTCTGGTGACACCTGGCCACCGGGGAGGGTGCAGAAGCTGAGCCCAGCTGAGGCCCTGGGCAGTGGTTTCAGTGTCTTATTTATCTCTCTGTCCTGGGACAGGGCGTGGAAAAGACACCGTGGTTGGCAGTGACGAGGACTCCAGCGCCCGGATTGCAGCTCGCCCGGCCCTAGGACAGTGCCGAACCCTCAGCGGGGACTGGGCGGGCCCTGGGAGTCCCCGCAGGCTCTACCTGACTGTACGGGTAAGAACTGGGCCTTCAGCAGGACGAGGGGGTGAGTGGGGCAGGGTGCCCCTTAGTCCTCTGAGCTCTAGCAGCTGGGTCCCCAAAAGGCTTCTTCAGGACCTGCCTTGCATCTCTCTGCCACGCTCCTCACAGCCCATCTGGTCCTAAGCCTGCTCGGATGGGGCAGTTTGCTTGCATGTTATCTCAGGGAAGATCTCATGGGAGGTGACAGAAGCTCTTTGGCCACTCCCTGGCTGAGGTGTAGAAGTAGAAAGTATAGGGCCTTTACTAAAATGAGTGGGGCCTGTAGTATTGGGAAAACAAGTTGGTTTTGGGTGCTGTTTATGTCCATTGAGGTGTGAAATTGGGGACCATGCTTATATTTCCTTGTTTGAAGTGAGAATCCAAAGCTAGGTAGGGGGCTTCACCAAATCTTGGATTTTTACCTCTGCCATTACCACTGAGTTTTAAAAGGCAAACTTTACATGTATGTGTGATTTTGATTGTAGAAATAATACATAGATAGCAGTATAGTGGTTAGTGTTTATTAAGCATTGTTCCTGAACGTAGGCATTATGTATCTCATATAATCCTCAAAACTGTCTCAAGATATAGTTACTGTTTTATCTGAGGTTTAGAGATGAGAGCATACAGATTCAGAGAGGTTAAATAATTTGTTGCTGGTCACAGTGAGCTGGGGTATGAACCACTGAGCAAAACTACCTTTGTAACACATGATATAAAGAATTCACATTGGGCCGGGGATTTAGCTCAGTGGTTCCGGCCACTGCTTCGCAAGCGCAAGGACCTGAGTTCAATCCCTGGTACTTAAAAAAAAAAAAAGAATTCACATTGTGCAATTCTACGCAGTACTTGCAACTGAATGCCTGTCACGGTCCCGTCTTGAGAAATCTACTATGATGTACTTGGTGCTTGCTCATTTATCGTTCCTATGTAACTCCTTATATTTATAGCCTGTCAGTATATAGAGAACTACCTCATTCTTTTCAACTAGTTCATAATATTCTACTTGAGGTTTTGCCAAAGTTGTTGTTATTGGGGGTATGTGGCTCAGTGGTAGAGCACTTGCCTAGCATGCTTGAGGCCCTGGGTTCAATTCTCAGTACCACTATATATCTTGACATAGGTTTTTCTTCCTCTGCCTTCTTCTCTGTATTGGTTCTGATTATGGTGAGCCCCTTAAGTATTTGTACACCTATGGCTTTGAGTTCTTTCCAGAGCATCATGGGCTCTGCCCATTTTTAATCCATGCATTCATTGAAGAGATATGTATGAAGGGCATACTGTGCACCAATGCATGCTAGGTACAGGGATACAGGAAAGAGGACAAACATTTGATAGTCTTCCAGGGATGCCAGAGAGTCAGGGAATGATCATGGATGCAAACCAGACAAGAGCCATAAACACAGAAACAGGGGGTGAAATACCAGGTTATTATATTGGGTTATATCTGGGGGTGTTGCTGAGGTCCTAAGAAAGGCTGTGCCTTAGAGCCCCATCCCCAAATCCTTCCTCATGCTCTTCTGACATCCACATGAAAGATTCTGCTCTTTCCAGAAGCCACATGTGCATAGAGCCAACGTTGCTTTAGGGGCAGGCAGGTGTCCTGTGGTGTTTCCCAGCCTTTTTCACAAGGCTCAACTGAAAACTAAACCATATGGTTCTTTTATCTGTAAGGTCTGAGGAAAAGCCAGTCTGGTCAGAGAACAGTTAAAGAAACCAGAGAGAGCTAGTCTTTGCCCTGACTTGGACCACTGGTATTTAAATTGAAAGGCTGTGGTTGGGAATGAAGGCCTCCAGTTGGGTGGTGCTGTGTTCTTGAGTTTTGATTATGGGGTGTCAGGGTGTGCTTCCGAAGCCTGGGGTCAGCAGATCTGCTGAGGCCCTCCAAAGCTGCGGCCAGCATCCAACCTCCACGCTGTTCACGTCTCTCCGCGGCCCCGCAGAGCTCTGTCATGCCAGGGTCATGGATGTGGGGCTGGAGTGGGTCGAAGTCACAGCAGGGTAGCTGTTAGGCTTAGGGACCCCCCAGCCTGCAGAAATCCAGCCCTGGGCCATCTGCCCTTTCTGCGCGTTGGCCCACAGGCCAGAAATAGTGTAACCTTTGCTCCGGTTGACAAATGGGAACTTCCAGCTGTTGCTACCACTGCCAACAAACCTGCTCGTGATGGTGTGGCAGCTGGTCAAAGAGTGGGGACAAAATTAAGTCAGCGGGAATTTTCCAAACTACAAGGAGTTTGCTTCCCATCTTGGAATTGAGAGGGCATGAGTGAGGGAGCGGATGGCGAACTAAGGACCCTGCTGAGGGTCCTGCTAAGGACCTCTTCTTTCCCAGTTCTTTTGATTGGATTTTGGGTGATCAAAGTTTAAAAAAAAAAATGGAGTTACAGAAATAGTAAAGTAGTCTCAGCTGCCTTGTGTTGTGCTGTCGCTGTGCACGTTTCTCTGGTCACTGCCGCAGTTATGCCACACAAGCACTAGGGGCGCTGTTGTCACCCTTTCTAGTTTGGGGCTTCAGGGAAAGTAAGTGCTGCTGTAACTTACTCACAACCCCACCACACACAGGTAACAACAGGTGGTCCGCCCAGGCCTTGCCCATTCCAGACTGGTTTTATTTTTTAAAATTTTGTTTTGTTTTGTGAGATAGGATCTCACAGTGCCGTTCAACCTGGCTTTGGACGCAATATATATCCCAGGCTAGCCTTGAACTTGTGAAGATCCTCTTGCCCCAGCCTCCCGCATGTTGGGATTACAGGCATACGCCATCATGTCTAGCCAGACTATTTTTAGAACATACTGTTTTTAAAGCACATGTCTGTTTTGAATATAGAGAGTGCAAGACGTACATGCTCTTCCTTGATCTCGCTTCCCAGGTACCCCTATTGATGTTAAAAAACAAACAAAATGCTGTAGATGTTTATAAGGTGAAAACTTTAAATGTCAGACAGATTTAGAGTGAAGGGGACAGTCCCCTCCTTTCCCTTGCTCCTTCCCATTGTGGTTTCTTTTTATTCTTCAAAAGCTTAAATGATGCTTGCTTCTACTCTTAGTCACTGCCCAGCACCCCCGCCTCCCATAGAGAGCTACCGTGCATCTATTTCTCTAGACTGTTTTCTTTACCTGTTTTATGTTTACTGCTCTCAAATGGGGTCACACTTCCACATGGGTCTGCCTCTTCCCGTGGGGCCCCTTCACACTTCCTTTGCCCTCACTCCCCTCCCACCTGCCCAGTGGTCTGCTGTGTCCCCACCTCCTTTGTCTCCAAACCTCCTTGATCTGGAGGCGGGGGTCCCATAGTCCCTAGAGTGCCACATGGGGTGGGGAGAGTGGAGGAGGCAGGGGTGCCCTTCCCCTGCTTGGTCGGATTTGGGCGCAGCCTCCTAGTCCTCGGTGCCATCTGGAGATGGGGAGCTGTTTGTCAGGGGTGGCAGCAGCTCATAGCATGGGGCAGCTGCCCTGAGATGGAGGGACATGTGGTGGGGCTGGATAGCTGCCTGTGGTCAATGGGATTTGGGGGCTGCTGGCTGGTGATTTGTACCCAGCACTGGCCCAAGCTTGACTTGAGGACTTCAGGTGCCCAGAACCTGCTTTGCTAGTACAGAGATCTGTGGCAGGAGTATGTACCACCACCATCTTGCTGTGGGATCTGAGGCCACTTCTCTTAGACCCTGGGTCTCATTGTCCCCCACCTGCACAGTGAGGGCTTGATCCACTGGCCTGAGGGCCACGCCAGCTCCAGAGTACACCATTCCCAGTCCCGAGGTCCCTCCCTGGCACAGCCCCTTCATTTGAGGATTCTGGTTGTGTCTTGGCAGCAAGCCCTGCAGGACAAGGGGTGCGAGAGCAAGAGTCAGGGGACGAAAGAAGACAATCTCTCGAAGAGGCAGGCGCTGGTCCCCAGGCGGGACCGAGAGGCCCTGAAAGCTGGTGCTGCCACGAATGTAGAGAAAACAGGTAAAGGAGGGCTTCCTGCTGACCTTGGACAACACCTGGCAAAACTAGCACAGGAGGGAGGCTTGTGTGGAGTTCAAAATGTCCCCATACCTGTCCCTTCCCACCCCCCAGGGTGGCTAAGGCAGACTTTGGCTACCTTACCTGACACGGAACTCCAAGACTCTCGCCTGCCTCTCCTTGATCCAGGGACAGTGTTGTCTGTCCCTTGCTTCTCCCTTGCAACACTAGCCCCACCCAGTGATAAGACCTTGGCCAGCGGGGGCTAGGGTTGAATTTCCCTGCTTTTTGTCTTTTCCAGGCACCTGTCAAAAGCAGGGCGCAGGTGGCAGCCTCCCAGACGCCACTGCCTGCTGAGTGGCCTGGCTCCCTCCCCTCTAGCCTGGGCCTGTGAGGGTCCAAGGCTTCCAGGACAGGGATTGGATTCTCCAGCCTCTAAGCTGAGAGAATGGAGCTGGCCGCTCCACTCTTTCCCAACAAGGGTGGTTCTGGAGGATTCTACAGGCCCCTTTTGTAGTCTCACAGTCTGTGCCAGGGATCCTAGTGGCAAGCCTGAGCCCATGGAGAACTGGGAAAGAGCATCCACAAGAGTCCAAGGGGAATCCCAGAGGAAAGGGCCCCGGTCTTCCTGTTGTTTCCTTCATCCTGTGGCTGAAGGTTAATCTGTGTCTCTGAACTTGCTGGGGTCTGGCAGGAGTCCGCCCTTCTTTGAGGTCGTGCCAGAGCTGGGTTCCCAGATGTGGGATCTGGCTGAGGTATGGACAGCAGGCTTTGGGAAGGGAGATCATCCAGCCAGTGAGGTGGGCTTTCCTTCCAAGGTAGCAGAGGTGCTGGGAAGAGGAAGGCCAGGTCCTGCTGGGGTGATGACTGGCTCTTGCCTGTAGGCCAGGATACCATGGTCCCTGAGCACCAGTCCTGTGATGGGTGGCACCTGTGAAAATGGATCTAGCAGGTGGCCCTGTGCCCTCACCTCTACCTCCCTTCTTCCCTTTTTCCACTCTCCCTTAGCTTCTCTGAGAAGAGAACTTTTTTCTTCCTCTGGGGATCCCAGGCCCAGGGCCTGGTGCTGAGGTCCTGGTGAGCTCCACTGTGGTGACTCTGTGGGGTATTTCAGGTCTCCGGTGGCAGCTATATCTTGGTGACAAGGCTAAGCCTCTTTCAGCCTCATCTGTGGGCTGTAACAGTCACCCACACCACAGACCCCCAGGGCTCCAGGCTCCTTTCCCAAGCCTGCCTTCTGGGGTTGGCACACTGTCTCTATTCACGTAGGAAGACCCAGGGGCCCCTCCCATGCACCTCTCAAGTGGTAGAACCAGCTCCCCAGCTGGAGTCCAGTACTTCCCTCCTATACCACAGTAGTCGGCCGAGAGCAGAGGGCCATGTGGGTCACATGCCACCCCATGGCAGCCCCGTGCAAGGGCCTGGAAGCCTCTGTCTGCCCTCACTCTTTCTAGAACAGTTCGCAGAAGCTCTGTGTGACTTGCATTCTGTGTCACATGTAGGTCCCATAGCCAGGGCCACTGTCCAAGCAGGGATTGCCTAGCCTCAGCTCTCTGGAAGGGAGGAAAGCTGCCTGGGAGTGCTCGTGCTCTCTCTAGGCAGACCAACCTCATACCTCTCCATCCACGCTCTGGGGCCAGTTTTGAAATAGTTCCACCCATGCCCAAGACAACCGAAACCTCCTTGCTCCCCTCTTCTGCAACGCCAGCCTACTCTTCAGGGCCCTGAGGGCCTCACTGTCTTCCAGTCTAACCTGTGAGCCTGTAAGGCACAGGTGGCTTCAGTCATAGAGCCTGGGAGCCCCTCGCCCCTGATGAAGCCCAGAAACCTGGCCTCAAGACCGAGTGGGAAGACTTGTTGGTCAAGAGCTAGCCTCTTTGCTCTCGGATGCTCTACAGTCTCTGTTTGGGCCACTGAAGGGAGGAGGCCACCCCATCCCCATCCTCCTCTGTCCTTTGTCCTCGTGTCCCCTGACCCACTGGCCAGCTCCTGCCTTCAGAGACCATGCTCATTCTTGGTGCTCTGGCAGTGAGCTGTGACAAGCATCCCAGGCTTGGTTAGCAGGTCACGGGCCTCAATTCTATATCTGTTTGTCTCTCTCTCGCTCCTGGTGACAGGACAGTGGATGGCCATGGGAGGAGGAGGACTCAGGCCGAGGACCTGCCCAGCTTGGTACTTGTCCCCTTCTTGTGCTGGTGTGGTCCCACGTGCGGGTGTCACCCTCAGTGCTGGCCTGGCTGCCCCTGCCCTATGTGCTGGTCTGCCCATGTCCTGGTCTGTTGCACTTGCACATAACTCCTCTTGCCCACTCTGTGCACAGGTGACCACTTCAGGGACAGCTGAGGACCCTACTCCTCTCTCTGTACCTTTGAGAGAGCTTGAAGTTGAAAGGAATCATTTCCCCAAGCACAGTGTTTCTTGGGTGAAAAGTCTGTGTCTTTTTTGGTGGCCTGTGATCCACAGAGAGGGGCTTGATCTTCAGATGTGGGTTATGTGCTTTGAGAGCAGTCAGCAATAATTGCTCTTCTAAGCTTCGGTCCAGGCAATTCCATCCCCTAAGAAACTGCCTGTGAAGTCCCCCCAGTGACCCGTGCTGCCATTGTCTCCAGCCCTCACCCGCCTCCTACTTGTTTGCACCCCCTTCCCATTGCAATGGTCTGTCCTGCCATGCTGGCCCCTCCTCTGCCAGCAGCACCTCCACAGCTCTGCTGATCAGCCACTACTTTGCTTGTAGGTGGGCGGCTGTTTGGCAGAGGGAGGTGCTCCAACCTGCCAGGGTCACCAGGGGCGGCCCCTGAGGTGCATAGGATGGTGGAGGCCATGTCCCAGCTTCAGAAGGAGAAAGCTCAGCTTCAGGAGGAGCTGGTGGTCCTGCGGGAGAGGCTGGCCCTCCACAACAGTGACCAGCAAGCCACAACCACCCAGCTGCAGAACCAGGTACCTGGGGAGGTAGGGATGGGCAGAGACCACTGTCCACTATGCAGTAGTGCAAGGACATTGCAAGGACACCTGGACCCCAACAGGCCAATGGCATAGGAGAAAAATGGAGTCTCCTCTCCTGGCTTGGGAAGATACTAGAGAAAGAGGTGGCTTAAATAGGAGGCCCTGGGCTTCCTTGCAGTCATCTTCTTGCTAGGGGACCAGAAATGACATAGCTGTGAGAAGGGCAGGAGGGGCAGGGACACTTCTTCTCTGAGCCCTATGCTCAGTCCACTCTTTCTTCCAAGTGTCATGGGCCAGGGAGTCCGAGGGGGCAAAACCACTGCAGTGGCACCCCACACGCACAGCCCCCCAGGAACTGAGAGCTTGATTCTCAGGAAAGGTGCAGGCCAGTTAGAGCACTTGTGGGAGGAAGGTGCTTTCAAATATGTAGAAATGAGGGGGAGCTCCCTGAGTTTATGATAGGAGTATCATCTCCTTGTCAGCTGGCCAGGAGGAGTTTGGAGACCCTGAGCTGGGAACTTCATGCCCTGTGGGGCTGACACTGGCCCTCCTCTGTGTGCCCGGCTCTTCTCTTTCCATCTCCACATAGCCCCCACGCCCAGCTTCTCACTCACATGGTTGACGCCTGTCTCTGCAGCTATCTGAGCCTCACCACTTGCCCAGGGCCCCCAGCTCCATGTGCCACATCCTCCCCACATGGAGTCTCTGAGTTCTCGGCCAGGCTCTCTGATGACAGCCCTGCCTTCAGATGGGGCACATTCTTCCTCTGTCTCATGAACCAGCCTAGAGGTAATTTAGACATGTGGCCCATTTACTGGAAGGAAGTCACCAGGGCTGGGACCTGACCTCAGTTCTGGGGAGCAGGTTGTTGGCATGCACCTCGAGTCAGCAGCATTTCTTCTGGCTCCTCCGGAGCACTCTGTCCTGCCCCCACCCCTTGCTGACTTGGGCAGGCCTCCTTGGGTGTCCCCCTGTGCTATATCTCCCTCTTACACCCTCAGCCCGTTGCTTTGGTGTCTCTGGGTCTGTCTACCGTGTAGCCCAGCAGCTCTTCCCAGCCATCTCTGTATCCATCCACCTGCTGCTCACCTGCCTTCTTCCTCGTGTTTGTAGGAGCCTCTTGACCTGGGCAGTGGGGATACCCAGGTGGACTTGCAAACACCTGCACCCAGAGGCTTGAGTCTGGGGAAGGTGGACATTTGTAGCCATGTAAAACAGACAGACTGACAAGTCTCTGCAGGGAGGGCATGTACGCCAGGGGCTGTGACACTGTGGTGGAGGGTAGGGACAGGGTTGGGGCTGAGGAGAGCATTCTGAGCTAAGGAGCAGCCCATGCAAAGGGACTGTGGCAGTGGGAAGACCAAACTCCAGGACAGCCTTGGGGGCTGTGTTGGTTCAGGGCCCACCCTGCACAATACACATCCTGCCCAAGGCCAGAGCTCAGCAGCAGCTATGGCTCCTCTAGTCAAGGCTGCCTTGGCTGGCACTTTTACTTTTCAATCTCAGTCAGTTTCCCTCTCTCTTACTCTGAGTTTTATTGAGATAGTTTATAGACCTTAAAATTTATCCTTAAAGTTGGTCAATTTAGTGGTTTTAAGTGTGTGTGTATATGTGTTTGATTGATTGAGAAAGGATCTTACTATGTAGTTCAGGCTGGCCTAGAATTTACTGCATAATCCAGGCTGGCCTCAAACTCAAGGTGACTGTCTTAATTACTTTTTTTTGTTGATGTTGTTGCTGTGACAAAATACCCAACACCCAAAGTTAAAGGAGGAAAGGTTTATTTAGCATACAGTTTGTAGAGGTTTCAGTCCATAGTTGGCTGGCTCCAAGGCAGGGTGACATGGCAGGGGGGAATTGAAGAGGAGAAACAGTTCATGGTGGGCAGAAGGCAACAAGCAGCAAACAAGTGGTAAGCAAGGAATCTTATTTCTCTCTCCCTATGTCTTATCCAATCTACCTACCCTTAGAGTTGGTAACACTCAACCCCTAATCCTACCATCTCATCACATACTCTAGATAAGCCACCTCTGAAAAGCCACACTTAGGACTGCTAGGTACATAATTTGATCCTCCTGCCTCAGACTCTAGAGTACTGGGATTTTAGGAGTATGCTGCCAAGCTCAACAGTGGTCCTAAGTATATTAAGACAGTTTACACCTGTCACCACTATCTAATTTTATTTTATTTTTTAAGACAGGGTCTCACTATGTAGCCCAGGCTGGCCTTAAACTCATGGAGATTCTCCTGCCTCATTGTCCTGAGTGCTGAGATTACAGGCATGCACGATCAAGCCCGGCTGTCTTATCTAATTTTAAACCATTTTCATCACTTAAAAATATCTGATAACAATCACTCCCCATTTCCTACCCCCTCAGCTCCCCTGGTAGCTGTTACCTGCTTTCTGTTTTTATGGATTCAGTTCTGCTGACATTGTCTATAAATGAAATCATAAAAGTGTATTGCTCTTTACAACTTTAAACAATTTCTTTTTCTTTTTTTCCAGTACTGGGGATTGAACCCAGAATCTTATGCATGCAAGACAAACTCTGTGCTATTGAGCTATATCCCCAGTCCTTTTTAATTTTTATTCTGAGACAGGGTCTTTCCAAGTTGTTCAGACTACCCTCACTTTTATTCTTCCTGCCTTAGCCTCCAAGGATCTACACCATTGTACCTGGCTAAATGGGTTTTTAAAAACTTTTTTTCCTTTAATTATCAAGATCTACTTGGTTATCTTTGAGCCCTACCTCTTAGCCTCCTCAGGAGAGCCCCAGGCTGCCCTGCTCCCCAGATGACATAGGAGGTCTGAACGGTCACTGGTCTTTGCTCAGAGTTGCATTTCCTGCCTGCCAACTCTTTTTCTGGAACTTTCTTGGGGGATGTGTGTGAAGCTCTAGTCCCTACACAGCTCTCTGGAGGGTCTAAACCTGTGGGGCTGGGCCTGGGGCTGGGATCAAACCCTGACTTTGGCACCGCCATTGGCTGTATGTGGGGCTAGTATCTCAGTTTCCTCATCTGTAAAGCAGTCATAATAACAGTTCTTGGATTCCCTGCAGGTTACTGGTGTTGCCACCATCACCTGGAAGTTTGGGATTTAGAATCCTGGGAGCTAAGTTCTAGTCCCAGCTCTGCCCCTTACCAACCGTGCCACTGTAGGAAATGAACTCTGTGAGCTCTGGTTCACTGTCTCCAAACTGGGGTAACTGTGTGGCTCTGTGGGCATTGGATAGATCCATTGTGAGAGTGGACAGAAAAATGGGTAGAGAAGTACCGTGCCTTATGGGTGTCGCCCCCGAGAGCTCTGGTTTCCCATTGGCTTCACTGCAGTCTGATTCTTTGACTTGCCTGGTGTTCTACACATTGCTTCTCTAAGGAAACCCCACCAGTGGGGTACACTTAGCCTGCTTTTCATGGTACCTGGTCCCCAGGCTTCCAGACCCAAGTTCCAGTCCGAGGCCCAGCACGTAGGGGTCAGGTGACCTCAGGTCATTTAACCAAGGCCTGCCCTCTTGGAACCTTGACTTTCCTTCCTACACAGTGGGGACAATAATTAACACCCTTCCCAGATTTGGGGATCCCAAGTGATGATCTCACGGGCCTTGCTCCCTGGCAAAGCTGGCTGAGTGAATGGGGCTGCTGTTGCCCCTGTTGGAATCTGGGCTTCCCTCATGCAAAATGTCACATGGAGGGGTTTCTGTCACCGGGAGCAAGGGACGAGGGTCTGCAGTCCTAGGGCACAAGGGTTCCAGTTTCTCCTCACCCTCACCTATTTTTGTTTTGTAAGAGCTGTCCTAGCGGGTGTGGAGTTGGTGTCTCCCTGTGGCTTTGACTCTGGTGATCCCTGATGCCTTATGAGGATGAGTGTTTGTTTGGAGAAATGTCTCCCCAAGTACTCTACTCGTTCTTTCATCAGTTTTGTAGTTGGAAGAGTTCTTATACCCTCTAGATATTGACCCCTTATCAAACAGATTCCTGTCCCATGTGTTGCCTACCTTTCCACTCTGATAATCTTTATGGTACAGAAATTTTTAATTTTTATGAAGACCAGTTATCTCGTTTTTCTTTCATTGCTTGTGTTTTGGAGTCATGGCCAAGAAAATTATTGCCAAATTCATTATCAGGAAGTTTTTCTACTGCATTTTCTTCTAAGAGTTTTATAATTTTATGCTTAGGTCTTTGATCCATTTTGAGTTAGTTTCTGTCTGTGGTATAAGGTGAAGGTCCAGCTTCATCCTTTTGCATGTGAATAACCAGTTTCCCAGCACCATTTGTTGAAAAGATTGTCCTTTTCCACTAACTGGTCTTGGTTCCCTTATCAAAAATCATTTGAGTATATTCACCAGTTTATTCCTAGGCTCTCTATTCCCACCCATTGTTTTTATGTCTGTTTCTAGGCCATGCTGCACTGATTTGATTACTGTAGTCTTGTAAGTTTTAAAATCGGGAAATGTAAGATTTCCACCTTCATTGTTCTTTCTCAAAATTGTTTTTTCTATTTGCTTTCCCTTGAGAGTCCATATGAAGTTTAGTATGAATTTTTAAATTTCTTCAGAAAATTCTGGAATTTTTGTAAGGATGGCATTGAATCTGTACATTACTTTGAGTATTATGGAAATATTGAGTCTTCCAGGCAGTGGACATGGGGTGTCTTTCCATTTATTGATGTCTCCTGTAATCTTGGGGCAACATTTTGTTGTTCTTAGTTTATAAGTCCTTTACTTCCTAGTTACATTTATTCCTGAGTATTTTATTCTTTCTCATGCTATTATAAATGAAATTTTTTTTATGTTCCTTTTTGAATTGTTTATTGTGAGTTATGCAACTGAAATGCAACTGATTTTGCTGTGTTAATTTTATATCATAACTTTGCTGGATTTGGTCATTAGTTGGCCTAATGTTTTAATCAAATTCATTGCAGATATTTAAATCTTAGTTTACGTAGAAATCTAGGTTTTGTTTTTGTCTTAAAAAATTAGCTGCAGCTCCCCTGGGCCAGCATTCCCATGTGGCAGCCACTGCCTGCTGTCCCAGATGAGCATCCTTCAGGGCCCCTCAGCCCAGTCCAGGATCCTCAACTCTTAGCAGCCTCACCCACAGAGGCTGGGCTGCCTGCCCCCTGTTTATTCAGCATTCATCCTGCATGTATTTATTGAGCACCTAGTATGTTCCAGGCACTTTGAGTACAGTGCTCAGCATCACAGACAAAAGTTTCTGCCTTCATAGACCTTTCATTCTAGTACACATTGAACATCCCTAATCCAAAAATCCAAAATCCAAAGTGTCCCCAAATCTGAAACTTTGTAGGTCGACATGATGTCGCAAGTCTGATGCCTCAGTGTTCACAAGCTTTATTTCATGCGCAAAAGTATTTAAAATGGTGTGTAAAATTATCTTATGCCTGGGCATTGTGATAGACGCCTGCAATCCCACCAATCAGCAGGCTGAGACAAGAGGATCATGAGTTCCAGACCAGCCCGGAGCAATGACCCTATATAAAGATAAAATTTTAAAAGAGGTAGGGATAGAGCTCATGCTAGAGTGCTTGCCTAGCATTCGTGAGGCTCTGGATTTGATTCCCCAGGACTGTGTAATCTTCAAGCAGTGTATGTAAAGGTGTATATGAAACATAACTGAATTTTGTGTTTAGACTTGGGAGTCGTATCCCCAAGACGGGACTTACATAGGCAGATATTACAAAATCAGAAAGACTCTGGTCCCAAACATTTTGGGCAAGAGGTATTCAATTCATAACTGCACATATGTGCTGGGCAGCACTGTGACCATTCACATCTATTATCTCATTTAATCTTAAGACAACTTCAGTGAGGTCACCTGATACCTCACTGATACAGGTGATGAAGCCCAAAGGTACAAAGCTCGGAAACCTTGTCCAAGGTGAGTAAGGTGAGGTCTGAATTAGAATCTGTCTTGGGCATCTGTTTTTCCCAGCTGCTAGTCTTGCCATCCCACCCCCCTCTCCTTTCCCCTCCCCCATGGCAGAAGGACCTAGATACGAGTATTTGACAGTGGAGACAGCCTTGTGGACAGGCCTCGGGGATAGGATAGGTTACACGGCCAGGATCTGGCCTCCTGGGTTGGAGGTGTGTTGGGGCAATATGGGGAGGCTGCTGGAAAAGGGGGAGATCCCTGGGCTGCATTTTGAGGGCTTCCTAGCTCAGCAGAGCCAGGGGAGGAGCCCCTTTTGCCTGGTTGGCTGGCTCAGGCAGCCCAGCCTGGTGGGAGGCCAGGAGGTAATCAGCGGGTTGTCCTTGTGAAAAGGCTGCCTCAGGAGCAGACAGCTGAGAAAACAGACCCAGCAGGCGGCCCCACCGGCTATTCCACCAACGTTTAAATGAAGGTTTCAGTCAGGTCAGCAAACAGCAGCCCACCCCCGCCCCCACCGCTGGACTCTGACTCAGTTTCTCTGGCTGGTGAAGAGCTTGGGCCAGGAAGAAGTGTTGCCCCCACCTAGCTCTGGCTTTACCTCCATGCCACCCTGGGACCATCTCCTTGGCCTGGCCAGGAGGCTGCTTTCTCCTGCATCCTGGCTGTCTGGCTCAGGAATGTTCCTGCTGCCCCTTTGCAGCTGCTTCAAGTATTTATTGAACATCTCCTGTGTGCTGGCCCAAGACCCTCCCCTGCAAGTGCCCTCTCACTACCTGCTCTGTGCTCTCCCCTCTCTCATCCCTTTTCTGTTTCTCACTTACTACCTGCTTTCCCTAACTCTGCCCGATGACCTGCCCACTCTGCCTTCCCAGCCTTCCCATTCAGGAGAAAGCTAGAGTCGTCCCCAACCTCCTAAAGCCAGCCCTGTGGCAGTGTGTTGTTCCTTCCTGGCAGTGTATTCTTATTTCCCAGCCCTGAATGGCACTGGCTCTTAGGGCCAGGGAGTAGTTGAGTTGTCTGTGCCTGACTGATTGGGCTATGGCTACTTTGCGCAGGGTGCCCCTTGGGGTCGGTCTACTATGCCTCAGTTAGGTCCCCCTGCCCCGCTGCCCAGGACAAGCCCAGCGATGGCTTAGCATGTCGTGTGTCTCACAAGCCCCTCCCTTCGCTCCCCTCCAACTTCTGCCCCTTTGGAGCCACCTCCTGAGCTCAGGTTCCCATTGTGATGCCAAAGGGGAACTGGAACCCTACGGTGGGCAGACACTGACCACTTCCACTGCCTCCCCCCGGCAGTGCCACATGGGGACCATGGGAATTGAGGGCTGAGGCAGCAGGCAGGCTGGGGAGGGAGGGAGGCTGACATTTTTCTAGGTGGGGAGCAGACCTGCTTACTTCAGGGGGAGGTGGTATGAGAGGATCGCACACCCTGACACTTAGACATTGCTGAAAAACCTGTTGAATTTGTCAGCTAGATGCTACAGCCTGGAGACCTCTCCTTTGTGTTGTACACAGATGTTTTTCCTGGGTTTTCCTTTGACTATAAATACGTGGATGTGCTGTGATGAGACAGGTGGTGGAGGGGTGTGGGAAAGGGAGAGGAGTCGGGGAAGGGGCTACAATGAGCCCTTTGATCAGAGGTGTTGGACCCCAAGTAGCAGGGAGCAGAGCGGTGACACTTCATATTTCAAACTTTACACTGGAAACTCACGGTAATGTAATGATTCTATAGTCCTCTGTGTAGTAGATGTATGCACACGTTGTCATTTACCCTGCTCCCCTAACAGTGGGCTCAGATTATCCCCCATTCTATGGCTAAGGAATGAAAGCCTCATGTGAACCACCCCTCCCTACCCTGTGGGGCCAGAGGACCTGAGCACCCCTTACCTTGGGCCCTCAACCTGACAGGGAGCTGGGTGTGGTGGTGCACATCTGTAATCCCAGCACTTAGAAAGCTGAGGCAGGAGGATCGCTGAGTTCAAGGCTAACCTGGAGTAGGTAGTGAGACCCTGTCTCAAAAAACAAAAACTCAGCTACACAGGGGCATTGCTAGTACGCAGAGAGGTGGCATGAGCATTGCTGCCTTGCTCAGTCTGCAGCCCAGTTCAGTGCTTGAGGTGGTGACAAAGGTGACCTCACCAGCTTGTCCTCTGGAGGCCTTGTCAGCTCTCAGCTAGGTCTCCCATCCTGGGTGCCCCTCCCAGCCATAAGTGAGCAGCCCTGGCATCTCTGGCCCATTTTGGGAAGTGGATGGACCCCATGGCCCACTTCCGACCTCCTTGGAGAAGGGGAGGCCCAAGTCACTGAGCTCCCACCCTGTCCAACTCCAGGGGACAGTGACCACCCAGGCCAAGCACTGCCCACAGATTTGGATGATGAGGTCTCAGCCGTATAAGGTGGGGAGACTTTATACTCTCCGAAGACATCCAAGCATCTGGCCTCTCTTGAAAGTTGAGTTTAGTGATGCTGGATGTGCATTCCCCCTGGTCAAGGCCTTGGGAGCACATCGTGGTGGCCTCCTTGGGTGGTACTGGGAATATAGTCTTGCACAGCCCCTCCCCTGCCTTACCTGTAGCCTAGGGATGTTGTCACTTATCATTTAGTAATTGGGGCCCAGTGCCTGCTCCACCACTTAGGTAAACCCCCTAAACCACTGGAGTATGTGTGACTCCTTGGGCCTTTCCCAAGGTGATGTGCTCGTCACAGAGAGCTCTGCAGAACCCCAGCCAAGCTCCAGTGAATGTGACTGTCGAGGTCGGTCTGCCTGAATTATTTTCTGGGGAAAGGAGAGGTTCCTGGGGTGGGCTGATGTGGGCTGATGTTCCCGGGAAGGGTCACTGTCCTGGGATCTTGCTCTTGGCATCACAGTGGCTCCACCTTTGCTGGGTACCTTGCCTAGGATGGGGTACATCCTGTTCTCTCTCAGCCTTGGCCAGTTACAGCTCTCCTGCAAGGCAGATTGGGAGTAGGGGTGGACACAGATCCCAGACATGCTCTGGCTGTGGTGGACAAACTCGGCTTGGTAGGCTGATGCCAGAAACCAAAGTGGAAAGTTCTGGGGCTGGGCAAGGACAGATCTAGGGCTTGCAGGACCTGGAGTTTATTTGTGCTTGTGGTACTAGGGATGGGACCCAGGGCCTCTCACACACTAGGCAAGCCACTGACCTATATCCCCAGCCTGGGCCTGGAGTTTATACCATCTGAGGGTCTTTCTAAGAAAGTTAAGATAAGATTACAGATAGGAAGACAGACCCAGGACCTCGGAGTGGCCCGAGTCTGCCTCAGAGCTGCCCTGGTGGCCCAGGTGCAGAGGGAGGAGCCCAGACTGGCTGGGTCCTGAGCCGGATGGGAGAGAATGCTGCAGGGTGTCAGGAGTAGCCCAGCCTCTGGCCATCTGGAGTCCTGGGCCTGAATGCAGGAAGGCCTGAGGCCAAAGGGCCGAAGGGTCCAGGACCAACATCATCAGTCATCTGAGGTTCAGGTGAGAGGCTTGGGAGGCCGGAGAAGAGGCCTTACCATGGCCCTGGCTTTGTGCCGACAGGTGGAAAATCTCAAGGAGAAGCTCGTCAGCCAGGCCCAGGAAGTGACCCGGCTACGATCCGAGCTGGTGAGGCCCCATGCGCTGTCCTGGAGGGGTGCCGAGGTCTGTCTCCATCCGCCCAGGGGTGCAGCCCCATCTCCCAGCTCACCTAAGCAGAGCTCACCTTGTCTCAGAGACTGTGCACCCTGCTAGCCCCTCAGAGTTGCTGCAGTCCCGGAAGGGAGGGACAGTCCTGGAGTAGGAGTGTGAAGTCTGCATCAGTGTGACTTCTTGTTACTTTCACAGTCGGGAAATAGAGCAAGGGGGTGGGGCTGCAGGGAGCGCTCCAGCTTCACCTTGCCTGTGCCTCTCCATTCCATTCAGCCCTGCTGTGCTCTTCCTTGCTTGTTCACCATCATCCTTCTCTTTTCCTTCTCTGTCTTGCGTCTCACCTCTCCTCCCCTCTCCCCTGCCTTTGCACACTGCCTGACCCTCTGTTGACTCCTGCCGCGCTTGCCACATGCCCCCCCTGCACCCTGGCTCTCCGCAGAGAGGCACCGAATTGGAGAAGCACCGGGACCCACTGATGGTGGAGAATGAGCGGCTGAGGCAGGAGCTGGGGCGCTACGAGGCTGAGCTGCAGGAGCTGCGGGTCCAGCCGGCTGCAGCTGCACCCTGCTCGGGCTGCAAACACAGCCAGGTGAGCCGTGGGCCTGGGTAAGGGGCTCCATGCCTCAGCCACCCCAGCTCCTCACAGACCCCTGCCCATCTGTCCCCTGTGTTCCCTGACCGCCCACAGGAGAGCACCCAGCTCCGCCACAAGGTATCCCAACTGCAGCTGGAGGTGGCAGAGAACAAGGGCATGCTGTCGGAGCTGAATGTGGAGGTGCAACAGAAGACCGACCGGCTGGCCGAGGTGGAGCTGCGGCTCAAGGACTGCCTGGCTGAGAAGGCGCAAGAGGAAGAGCGGCTCAGTCGGCGCCTGCGCGACAGCCACGAGACCATTGCCAGCCTGCGGGCCCAGTCTCCGCCTGTCAAGGTGGACCACCCACCAGGCAGCCGAGAGCAGGGATCCAGCCCAGGGGGAGGCTTGTCCGGGTGAATTCATGAATTCCTCAGTTAGTTGTGTGCTCAGCATTGCCCTTTCCCCTCCTGTGGTGCAGCCCAGGCACAGGGTAGGTATCAGCCATAGACGCTTGATCTGAGGTGCCCAGTGGGCGCCAGGCCTACATGCAGTGCAGCTTCTACATTCTGCCCTCATCTTCCTGTCTTACCTGTTCTGTGCCCAGACTGGACTGTAGCCGGGCACATGGGATGAACTGATTCCAGCAGTCTGCAAAGCCTGGACCTTGTCACTCCTGTGGGAGTCCCTGAGGACCCCTCCTCGTCTAGCCACATCCCATGTGCCTCCATATGCCCTTCCTCCCCTTACCTTGCAGTACGTCACCAAGACGGTGGAGGTGGAGTCGTCCAGGACCAGGCAGGCCCTCAGTGAGTCCCAGGCTCAGAACCAGCACCTGCAGGAGCAGGTGGCCATGCAGCGGCAGGTGCTGAAGGAGATGGAGCAGCAGCTTCACAGCTCGAATCAGCTGACCACGCAGCTCCGGGCACAGGTGTGTGGGCCAAGTGGGGTGTCCTTCCCCCTCAGTATGTGTTGTGGTGAAGCATTTGGGGACCCTATAGTTGGGGGTCTGGTCCCATCTCTGCTGCTCATGTGAACAAGGGCAAGTTTTGTCCGTTTTGTTATCTACGATGTGATCTGGTCACGGAACCCTTTTTACAGTGGGGTCTGTGGAAGAGGCTCTTTGCCTGGGGCCCAGCACACAGGTGTGCTCAGTGAGCATGGCTGCTTCCCAGCTTTCTAACGAATGCTTTCTGACCCCACCCCCACCACCCCGAGGGCGCACGGCTTGTGCATCTGTCATGTGCCTGGAACCAGGTTGGTGCTGGGGCTAACATAGGAGGGTAGTAGCTGCACAGTGCTCCCAGTCCCTTGTCAGGTAGAGTCCATGAGATCTTCTCTCCAACGTGTGTGTTCACGTGCTTTTGAGGTGAGGGTTGGGCTTCCTTCCTGAAACCTGCCCCATTTCATCCTGAGCCTTCTCCTGGTTTGCCCACCAGATCTCCATGTACGAGGCAGAGCTGGAGCGGGCCCACGGGCAGATGCTGGAGGAGATGCAGTCCATGGAGGAGGACAAGAACCGGGCCATCGAGGAGGCCTTTGCCAGAGCCCAGGTGGAGATGAAGGCTGTTCATGAGAACCTAGCAGGTGAGCCTGCTGCCTGGGCCCCAGCTGCCCTGTACCCCAGCCTCACATGTTGTCCATCTCACACCGCTTGTGTCCCCGTAGGTGTCCGGACAAACCTGCTAATGCTGCAGCCGGCACTGAGAACCCTCACCAATGACTACAATGGGCTCAAGCGGCAGGTGCGCAACTTCCCAATGCTGCTGGATGAGGCCCTCCAGAGTGCCAGGGCTGAGGTGAGTGAGGGCAGCCAGGGCAGGGCTGGCAGAGACCAGGAACCTTGGCAGACACCAGGGGTCCCTTGCAAAACTCCGAGCTCCCAGACAGCCCCACCCCCTGCAACCTTGCAGGCCCTGTTTGAAAATAGACCAGTAGACTGGTCAGGCAGGTTTGGGGGTATTTGACTTACTGTGATTGTTTAAAGCAAACATGTTACATATACCACAAACATGCTGCACATATTCTTATATCCAATGTGTTTAGTTTGTGAGGAATTGAGGATTGAACCCAGGACCTTGCACATGCGAGGCAAGTGCTCTACCTCTGAGCTACACCTTCAGCTCCTGTTAGTTTTTTAAAGCTGTGCTTATACAGTATGAGATGAACCAGTGTCTCTTAAGTCTCTCCTACGTGCTGAGCCTTTTATAGCTGTTGGCTCCTCAAATTTGTATGACACTTCTGCAGAGACTAATATGCTTTGGGAATAGAAAATAGTTTTTCTTTTTAAAAAATTGTTAGGGCTGGGAGTGTAGCTCGGTGATAAAGCACTTGCTTAGCAAGTGTGAGGCTCTGGGTTTCAACCCTAGCAGCGCCAAAAAAGAGAAAAGGTTAATGCATGGAAGACAGGGTGAGAGGTCAGACTCTGCGGGGTTGGATGTAGAAAGATACAGCGTTTCCACCACTGCCGTTACCCTCCCGCGAAGGTCCCCTGTCTCCACACATTTTCCCCAGAGTGCTGAGCATTTTATACCCACTGCTGTCTGTGGACAAGTACTTAACACTTCCCTGTCATCCAACCAAGGGGGCAGCCCGCATATGTGGTTCTCTATCTTGCCTTTTCTTCCCCCTGTGAAATAACATGGAGATCTGGACCTATCCTCTCTCATAGATTCACAAGTTAAATGATGTTATTCCCCCACCGTACAGATAAGAAAACCGAGGCTCAAAGCCATTGAGCCAATTTTCTTAGGTCCCCAGCTACTCAAGGGAATTTGATTCCAGTTAAATCCTAGAGTTGGGTGGTAGTGCCGGAAGTGAAGGCTCGGTTCTGGCTCTTTGCTTATTCACAGGGTGACCTTGAGCTATTGGCTTAACCTCTCTGAGGTTCAGTTTCTTCATCTGTACAATGGGGATGGGACCCAGAAGGGTTGCTAGGAAAATCTGACCTGTGATGGGGTGGGGTGGCAGTCGGTCAAGCGGGGCCGATGGAGCCAGCCCCATGATGCAGTGCATGTGTCCTGCCAGATCGACGAGATCATCGAGGAGGTCAACAGCAACAACCAGGACCTGCTGCGCAAGTACCGCCGGGAGCTGCAGCTGCGGAAGAAGTGCCACAATGAGCTGGTGCGGCTGAAAGGTGACTGTAGTGGGCTGGGGTAGGTGCTGGGACAGGGTCCTCCCCAGCTCAGCAGTCATCCCGATAGCAGTGCCCTGCCACTGTGCAGCCATCATGGAAGGAGGCACAGAGTAGGCAGGGAACTTGCTCAAAGCCCCAGGGCTGGAAAACTACCCACTGTGAACTTGAACTTGGACCTGCTCAGGTCAGAAGCTCCATGCCCACAGGAGGTTGCTCCCAGGCTCTGCATGGCCGAGGCATGGGGAGGTAGCTGGGAATGCTACCTGTTCTGACCTGGGCCTTGTAAGGCTTGAGACTTCACCATTTGCTGCACGAAGCTCTAGGGAGCTCCTGCTCTGGGCTGGACACTGGGCATTGGACTTTCTGAGCCTCAGTGTGCTCACTTCAGTTGGAAGAACAGACGGTGGTCACCATTCACCCAACATCCCATTACCAGAGCAGGGAGGGATCCCTACAAAAAGGGTCGGGGGCTTCCTAAGGAGGCAGTGTCAGAGCTGAGACCTGGCCCAGGAGCTGGGGTGGATGGTGGAGAGAGGGAGGTGGGCCAGGCTGGCTGTCAATGGCGGGGAGGGGCTCAGAGGGATCCACGAATGGCAGGAGGAGAGAGAGTGGTGTGAGCACTTTCTACTCCCAGACACCCCTGTGGCTGTGCCCATTAGATATGCTGCCAGACCTCCGTCCCGTCTGGTCCTGTTTGCCCATTTGGTGCCCAAGCCCTGACCTGGCATTCATGGTGCCCTTGCAGCATGAGAGAACAAGTTCCCAAGCTCCTGATCGTGTAGTGCAGAGGAAACAGAAGTCCAAAGGGAAAGTGTCCACCTTGGTGTCTCACCAAGACAGACCACAGTGCCTGAGCTCCACAGCTAACCTCTTCTCCCTGTGTCCAAGGCAAAACTGCCACCCTCAACTGGCCTACTCAGGAAGAAATATACTAAGTAAATTCACACTACAACATATTGATTAATTACAGCTTTGTGGGCTACCTTGCCCTGTGGGGCTTAACTGGTAGGGTACTCCTAGGCCACTAGTCTGTCCAGGACACCAGAGTGGAAGCTGTCTGGTCCTAACTCAGCCTGAGCCTGTCTCTCCATCCCCTACCAATCCAGGAAACATCCGGGTGATTGCTCGTGTTCGGCCCATCACCAAAGAGGACGGGGAAGGGCCCGAGGCGACCAATGTCGTGTCCTTTGATCCCGATGATGACGCTATCATTCACCTGCTGCACAAGGGCAAGCCAGTGTCCTTTGAACTGGACAAGGTCTTCTCCCCGCAGGCCTCACAGCAGGATGTGAGTGCAGCTGTGGGGAGAAAGAGCCATGGAGAAGGGCTGGGCAAAGATAAGCAGGGACTGGGGATGGGATGGAGAAACATGGTCCCTCATTCCTACTGGAAGAGAGAAGGTGGAGGTTAGGACAGAGGCCTCAGAGTCTGCCTCTGAAAGGGGTGGCCCAGGCCAGGCCCATCTCTCCCGAATTGTCCCCTCCCACACACATGGCCTCAGCAAGGACTGCTGTCTGGCAGTGGTGCCGTGGTCCTCACTAGGACTCCCCCTAGCACCAGCCCCAGTGCCAGGCCCTCAGCTTTGCTCTTCTGTCGCCTGCCCTGCCTGTGCCGTCCTATTCCATGCCTGATCTTGCATTGCCTTGTTCCCAGTCCACTGGTGGGCAGACCCAGGCCAGAGGAGGTGCCAGGCACTGCCTGCTTCTGCCTTCTTATTGCTAAGCCCACCATGAAAGTGGGGAAGCTGGGAAGAGTGCAGGCGGCATTGGGGGACATCTTGTCACAAGGTCCAGGACATCGACTTATTAGACTCCCATCTAAGTATTAAGCAGGCCTGACTCTGCTTAGCTTCTGAGATCAGACGAGATCAGGTGCGTTCAGGGTGGTATGGCCGGAGACTACTCCTTAGTCCTGATTTGCAATAGTGAACCAGGCTGGCGGGGCAAATGGCTGGGCTCAGAGCTGGTGGGGGCCCCTGGAAGCCCCTCACTCCCTTTCCCATGCACCCCACCAGGTATTCCAGGAGGTACAGGCCTTGATCACTTCCTGCATTGATGGCTTCAATGTCTGCATCTTTGCCTATGGCCAGACGGGTGCCGGCAAGACGTACACAATGGAGGTGGGTACCCGTTGATGGAACAGGAGTTCAGGAGTGAAGCCTCCCCTTCTGCTGCTGGGGCTCCCCTCATGGGTCTCTGGGTTCTGCATGGTGCATGCTTTGGGAGCAGAGGCTGTTGATATGTGTGGGCCCACAGGCACTGGTCTAACGAGGGACACGTTGCCTGAGAGCACTGCGGTGGGCCCTGTAGGACTGAGCGGGAGGCACAAGACGCCATGATGTCTCAGAATAGAGTTATGCCTCCCATACTAAACTCCCACCTGCTTCATGGCTGTCCCCCACTGGGCCCAGGGCTACGAGGTTGAAGGAGGTAGGGTGCTGGCCCCAGGAGAAGCCGGGGCAGTAAGAGAGACCAGCCATGTAATATTGTGTGTTAACTTTTTGTCACTGAGCATAACAATTTACAGGAAAAAAGATTCATTTTGGCTCAGTTTCAGCCCATAGGCAGGCAAGTGGCTCCATTGGGTTAGGCCTGCAATGAGGCAGAAATATCATGGTGGAGGAAAACTACTCACTTCATGCAGCTAGGAAGCAGAGAGAGCCAGAGAGGAAAAGGCCAGGGACCATGAGGTCACGCCCCTATGGAGCCACACTTCCTGTTTCCATCACCTTCCTATAATGCCACTGAAGTAAGATCTCAGTGGATTATCCACAGATGGAGTCACAGCCCTCACAAGCCGATCACCTCTGTAGGTCCCACCTCTGAACACTGCTGCCCAGGGTCAAGCCCATTGAGGGCTTGGGGGCATGTCACATTTAAATCATGATGTATGGGGAGCCCAGCTCTTAGGGCGGGTTCACATCTCTCTGGAATAGCCAGCCCCCTCCACACAGTGGGGTGGGAGCAGGCAGCACGGCCAAGAAATGGGGACGTTGAGATGAGGAAGAATCTTGAGTGTGGATAGAGAAAAAGGGAAGCTGGCCTTCAGGGGCATTTTCCCTGGCTCCTCAAAAGGCATGCAGAATTCCCCAGGCAGAGTGGTAAGAGGTCTGGATGGGCTGTGTACCCTCAGGGAGCACACCAAATCAGCCCTCTTGCCCCCAACCTGGGCCTCTTGGTCTCTTCAGTTCTGGGGGAGCTGAAGAAAATGAGGGGTGGGGTTGCAGAGTGCGTCCTGTGCTCCCAAGCTGTCTTGGGGCTGTACACAGTTGAGATGACCACTGGACCCTCACGGTACTTATCCCCTGAGCTCTGTGCTGAGGTATGTCGGGCATCCGCCAGGCACTGGGAACCTGAATGACACCAGGAAGTCAGCATTGAGGGCAGCAATCAGTAGGTGCCCATCAGGTCCAGAAGAGTAGCACAGCCAGGGATGAGGCTCTTACAAGGGCACCTGGGGGATGATCACAGAGCAGGCCCGAGGGAGCCGTGGAGTCAGCCTCCACTGTCTGAGGATGTTGCTTCTGAAGGGAACTGTAAATTTAGGTTAGGAGGCATATTTGAACCCTGGCAGAAAGCCTCTTGCAGGGATGGGGGTGGGAAGTGAGGCCCACACTTCCCAAGAGCCTCCAGAGCCCAGGATAGGACTCCAGATCTCCTGCTGGAAAGGCCCCAGGGCCCTTGCCTGCTCCGCTTTACCTCCCATCCATCACCCACATAGCCCTGTTCATGGCCTCCTAATGTTGGACCTTTTATGTGGGCAGCAGGAGCGAACTCATTCCTGCTGCCCCTACCAGGTCCTGGCAGGGCAGGTGTACATCTGGTCTCAGCAGTGTCATGCAGCCCCTGCCAGGCCAACCACCCCATTCCTTTGCTTTAAATCTAAGGACCATCCTGGCAGGCTGATCCTGCTGTAAAGGAAGAAAAACTTGAGGGTCCAGGAGGTGAAGTAGTTACAGTAGGTGGCGGGGGTGCGGGGGGGGTTGGGGGCAGACCCAGTGTCAGGCAGGGAGATTCACCTGTGAGGGGTAAGCAAGGGCTTAGGGGTGACAGATACCATGCGAGCGTCTGCAGGCTCACTGCTCACTTGTCTTCCACCCCCAGGGGACCCCTGAGAACCCAGGCATCAACCAACGGGCCTTGCAGCTGCTCTTCTCAGAGGTGCGGGAAAAGGCCTCTGACTGGGAGTACACCATCACTGTCAGTGCCGCCGAGATCTATAATGAGATCCTCAGGTGGGCCTGGGGTGCCAAGACAGCTGTCCTGGTGGCTTTGGGGTCCCTGGGAGCAGGGCTGGAGCCACGGGGACGGGCAGCAGGGTCTTTCTGGTGGGAGCTCAGGTTCCTGACGTGACCGTGAAGGTCCCATCCCCAAATGCAGCCATGCCCCAACCTTGGGGCCCAGATGTTCTCTGGCAGTGTTGCTCTCTGAGCTGCTTGGGAGGCCCAGGAATCCGCTTCGCCACCTGTGAGCTGTACTAGATAGGTGGAGTGTGGCAGGAAGGTGTCTCACAGGAACGTTGAACAGTTGGTCTTCCATTTCTGGCTGAGTGTAGGGGAGGAGCTGGAGGAGGTGGCGTCAGCCTGATGGTCCAAGGCTGTGTGAGGGCTGGGGAGAACATGTGGGGAGAATGGGAGGCCAGAAGTGGGATAAGGGAATGACTTCTGCCTGCCCTAAAGGGACCTGCTGGGGACAGAGCCTCAGGAGAAGCTGGAGATTCGGCTGTGCCCAGACGGCAGTGGGCAGCTGTATGTGCCAGGGCTGACCCGGTTCCGGGTGCAGAGTGTGGCTGACATCAACAAGGTGAGGAGCTAGGAGACCCCAGTCCCAATCCCAAGCAGAGCTGCTCTAGAGTAGGACAGGCAGGGGACACGAGAGCCATCTGCCATGTCTGTACATGCAGCCTCCCTTGGGCAGGGAGCTCTGGGACAGGTGACCCCACAGTTTCAGTTCTAACCCCGTGCTCTGCCTGCCACGCAGGTGTTCGAGTTCGGCTACGCCAATCGTACCACGGAGTTCACCAACCTGAATGAGCACAGCTCCCGCTCTCATGCCCTGCTCATCGTGACGGTTCAGGGCCGAGATTGCAGCACAGGCATCCGCACCATGGGTGAGGGAGGGATGGCAGCTGGGCTCGGGACCCTTGGGACCCCTCCTGGGGAAGCCTTGACCTCCCTAATGCCCTCCTCGCAGGGAAGCTGAACCTGGTGGATTTGGCTGGCTCAGAGCGTGTGGGCAAGTCAGGTGCTGAGGGCAGCCGCCTGCGGGAGGCACAGCACATCAACAAGTCACTGTCGGCCCTGGGGGACGTCATTGCTGCCCTGCGCTCTCGCCAGGGCCACGTGCCCTTCCGCAACTCCAAGCTCACCTACTTGCTGCAGGATTCACTGAGTGGCGACAGCAAGACGCTTATGGTGGTGCAGGTGAGGCCACCCTTGCCCTCAGGTGTGCAGTTGTGGGTGTTTCCTGGGGTGAGGCCAGGGAAGGGACCCTGGTCAGGGCAGCTCCAGCACCAGCTTCGCAGAGCTGGCCTCAGGCGCAGTACTTGGCACACCTCAGCAGCCCCTCTCTTTGCCCTTGACCTTTCTGCTCCTCCTCCACCAGAGCTCCCTCAGGGAACTGTGCTGTGGAGGCAGCCAGCTGGCCTGGATGGGATGTGACCTCCCATGTCCCCTAGGTATCTCCTGTGGAGAAGAACACCAGCGAGACGCTCTACTCCCTCAGGTTCGCTGAGCGGGTGCGCTCCGTGGAGCTGGGTCCCGGGTCCCGCCGCACTGAGCTTGGGTCCTGGTCGAGCCAGGAGCATCTGGAGGTATGGAGCTACTGAGGGTCCGTCTCAGGCTGGCCCTGGGCAGCTTTGTGGGCCACAGCATGGGGAGAGCCATTGGTGGGGGCAGCCTGGGGTGGAGCTGGAAAGAAGCTGACCTGAGGGCAGAGCTGGAACTTGCACCCAAACCCTGTGACCCCAAGTCTGTCTTGGCCTTGGAGGTCCTTGTGGGTCAGCAGCTGGTCCCTGGGCCTGGTGGGGCGGGTGCACAGTAGGAGCTAATTCTCCACATCGATTCTCATTTAACTCTCACATGGACTCTGGGTTGGAAGCCTCTTCATCACGCCCATTTTTCAGATGAGGGAAGCATGGTGTGGGGGGTGGGGAGGAGCCAGGTCTGCCATGGCCTCAGCCCACCTGCCCTTCCTGCTCACAGCTGGAGCCAAACTGCCAGACACCACAGCCAACAGCACGAGCACACTCGGCCCCTGGCTCTGGGCCCTCCAGCCGTCCTGGATCCATCCGGAGGAAGCTGCAGCCCTCCGGTGAGCTCTCTGCACATGATTGTCACAACCACTGTTTCCCTTACCTGGAAGGTCCTTTTCTTTCCTTTTTTTTAAAAAAAAACCCCTCCCTTTCCCTGAGAAGCAGTCAGGGCGGGCAGCACTGTGTCCATTTTATAGATGGGAAAACCAGGCCCTAGGAGAGAAGGTGCTGGGACAAGATTATTGGAGGCCATCCCTGCTCTCACACAACCCCTCCAAGACAGGCTGCCTCTAAGCCCTGGGCCTTGATGGTGTTCTTGTGGGGTGTGAGGGGCAGAAAGCTCAGGGCTCACTTCATGTGAGGAATGGGCTTCTCATGCAAGGGCCTGGCCAGTCCTTGAGTCCAGAGGCTTGGGGGTGGCAGGGCCCTGGCAAGATAAGATAAGCCCACCATTGAGACATGTGTCACTTTGATTTCAGCCTGACGGCTGGGGCTGCAGTCTCCAGGTAAGTGTGGGGCCAGCGGCCCAGGGTTGCCAGCCTGCCACCCACCTGTCACCCGCTGCAGGTGAAGGGGTACACAGGTTCAGCTGCTCAGGCTGGGCCTGTGCTTTGCTGCCTGCTGTCTGTGTGCTTCTGCTGGGCCCCCTGCTACTCTTGCCTCTGCACTGCTGTGGGCCCAAGCATGGCTGCAGACAGCTGAGGACCTCTGCCTCCCACACAGGGAAGAGGCCGGTGCCTGTGTAAAGACAAAGATGTGCCACCTGGAGCCGGCCGCCTCCTGCAGCGTCAGGGACAGAAGTGGAGGCCCTCCCGCTCTGCCGCAGAGATGACTCATTCAGAAGGAAGTGTCTCTCAGCTGTTGTTCTGGGTGCAAGTGGCAGGGGCAGGACTGGCCTACTCTGCCTGGCAGGCTCTGGGCATCAGAGCTGGCCCTTGTGGGCCAGGCAGCCCCCTCCTCATACATGGCCTGAGGGGCCTCCGGGAAGGCACAGGGCTCCATGGTGCAGGCCTGAGCTGGGGCAGAGTGAGGGGCATCCCAGAGTGGTGTGTACTGCGTTCCTAGGTGTACATAGGAGCCCGGCCACCTGCCATGGCTGGGCTGTATTTATGGCTGGCAGAAAAGGCCAGTGGGCAAGGTTCTCTGTCCCCTCCTCTATCTGCCTGGCACCAGGCATGCTCCTTGCTCACTGGCTTCCTGACATTTTCCTCCCTCTGAAATCCTATTTAAGAACTTTTGGAATTTAGCCATTTTTATTAAAATAAAAACCTTTTTTTTTACACAAGTGTCCTCAGCCTGTGTTGGTCTCGGGAGCCCTATGGTTGGATCAGGGGGAGAGGAACATTGGCAGACCCTGCCATCTCCCCCTGCCCTCAGCAGGAACACAGGTCCTGAACTGGGAGGGGGACTCAGGAGCATTCCTATCCAGGGGAAGTGCCTTTTTCTAGGGCCAGTTATCCTTATGAGGCATCTGTGCGCTGCAATATCTGATTGTCCTGCGGTGTCACCTCCATGTCATAGGAGACCAAGGCCTCAGAGAACTTAAAGGCTGGCTGAGGCTCTCATACCATGGTGGGGGCTCAACACACCCTCCGCTCTCTTTCTGCCCCAGCCTTTCCTGTCTTGATTAAACTGGCCAGAGGGTGGCACAGCACCACCCTCCGCCTGGCACTCCCAGGACTCTGGCCACTGCACAGCCCCAGGGAAACTGTGCAGGGGCTCCTGGAAGCTGTTTGGAATCCTCAGCAGAAGAGAAAGCAGCCATTCGGGCCCTACCTCGGGGTGGGGGGCAGTGGGCAGCCTACTGGTGGCTGTGCCTACAAGGGCTAGGATCCTGGCATCTTGCAGGGACTAAAGGACAGCTTGGAGGGTAGCAGAGATAGAGGCCTAATCTGTTTCCTATAGCCTTGGGGACCTCCTGCCTCCCCCTTCATACCCAGAGCTGAACTGGCACATCTGTCAACTCTGCTGCCCCCTTCTGGCCACACTGCCTGGCGTACCATCCCTGGGGCTTGCAGGGGCAGAGACCAGAGCAGGTCATCATAGGTGAGCTGCATGGCCAGAGGGATGGCCCTTGCACAATGGAACAGGGAACAGTTACAAATTTAATAAAATCTGCCTATAAATTATAGCAGCAGCCCCAGGGCTGTTTGCTGTCCCAAGAAGCAAGAGCTGGGCAGATATTGAAAGATGAACAGGTCAGGGCCAACTCCGCAACCTCCAGGATGGCCTCAGGCAGTAGAGAACAGGTAGAGGCTCATGGGCCAGTGGGCACACAGGGCAGAGAAGGGAGGCCAGGCCCTGAGGGCTGCTGGGTGCCCTACCCATTGAACTCCTCAGTCCAAAGCAGCCATAAGCAGGTGCAGCTCCCGGAAGGCACTGCCATGGCGGCCACTCAGGCTGGACTTGCTCTTGACAAGGCCGCTGATGCTCTTGAGCTGCTTGTAGCACAGGCGACACTTGTGTAGCCTGTGGGCAGAGGGGCAGGGCCTAAGGAGGTTAGCGTGCCCACCATGACCCTCAGCCCTGCGGCCCCAGGGCCTCTGCCATCCTACTCATCCTACCCCTCCTCAGAGAGGAGGACTAGCCCAGGATCCCCTGGCCTTCCCACAGTTGGGGGCACAACGAGCCCACGCAGGGACCCAGGATCTGACTGCCGACCCCATGCCCTGGCCCTGTTTGGGTACCAGCCAGCCTGTCTCTCACCTCTCCTCTCGGCTGATATCAACACCCACAGAGGGTGGGGCAGCCAGGATGTCTGTGATCAGGGGCAGGAAGCGCTGCAGGATCAGCTTCAGGGAAGTGCAGCCTGTCTGGACGTAGCTTTGGGGACAGACAGAGAACAAGGCACACAGACAGGCCCTTTCCACTCTGACCACCAGGGTGAGAGAAGGGCAGCAATGCTGCTTAGCCACCTCCCAAGGCCCTGAGATCTTTCTGGTCCCTGGACAGGCCCCAGCTTCCATATCGCAGGCCTTGCCCCTTACCTCTCATACTTGCTCTGCAGAAGCTTCTCGATCTGCGGCAGAACGGTGGTGCACAGGTCCAGCTTCCACAGGGAGCTGGGGAGAGGCCGGGTGTGGCGCTGACAGGTGGCTCTGCTCCCCCAGCCCCTCCCCAACCCTCTCGGCCACTTACACTTTCTGGTTGACTATGTTCAGGAGGTCCACCACCACTGACAGGTCGTTGATGGCCACAGCAGAGTCTACAGACGTCTGCAAACAGAGTACCATCAGGGGGTGGGGACAGTGGGGGCCTGATGGCAGCTTGTGATGACGATGCAGGAGGAAATAGCAGTCAGGGTGCAACATCCAGGCTCCCAGCACACATGCGGCCTCGTCTCAGTTCAGCGCTAAACCCAGGCAGTAGGAGGAGGGGTGTGGCTAGGCCCCAGGCAGGAGTGGGCACTTACCTTAATGTCACTTGTGGTCCACACAGCCCGCACGGTGTCCAGGTTCTTGTGGCGGCTGGTGAGCACCACGCACATGGTGTCGTGGCCTTTGCGGATCTGTGACATGGCATCTTCATCCACCAGCTCCGCCTGCTGGGGGATCTTCACAGCCTATGGTATGGGCCCAGGTGCTGGCATGGGAGCAGGCGGCACACCTCTGCCCTCACCCCATGGCTGCCACCACACCCCTCAGTCTGGATCCCCACTCACAGGCAAGAAGTCAGAGGCTTTCAGGCCAATTGGCTCATTCCGAGCAGCAGGGATGATGGTGGGCTCACCCTTGGGTGCAGGCGTGGATGTCAGGACCGGGGGCTGGGCCGGGACCTCAAGCTGAAGGGGTCAGAGGCTCAGCAGGCAACCAGGCTGAGACCTCCCCTCACCTCGCACAAAGGAGGGGCCTGCAGCCCCTCAAGCCCCACATCACGCCCTCTCTACTTGGACATACATTTGGCATTGGGCACTGCACGTCCATGGCTGGGCTTAGCTTTGCTGCCTCCTTCACTGTGGCCGTGTCTGGGTGCAAAAGGAAAAGATCATTGGGTTAGGCCAGAAGAAGGGACAGCAGGAAGAGGGCAGGGCTTAGGGAGAATCTAGGTGGCATCTGTAGTTGGGGATGAAGCAGCAGACAGTGGGAACCCAGGGAGAACATCAGCAGCTTGGGGTTCTGGAGAGGCAGATGGCAGTGGACCATTCCTAGTTGTTTAGGGACCCAGGAGTTTCAGAGCCATCTTGTCACTAGGAATGGAGTGTAGGTGGGGAGGGGACACTGGTGAGTAGATGGTAGACAGGAAGTGGAGCAGGAAGAGGCTTTTAGGAAACCCAGCCCCAAGAAGGTGAATGGGAAGACAACTGGTCCCCTAAGGGGAGGTCGGGTGGGGGTCAGGGTTACTACAGGGGATACCCCATGCCCTTTCTCCGTCCTGAGATGTTGCCACTGTAAATCCCGGACTCCCAGCCACGGCCTCCTGTCTCCAGCAGGGCTCACCTGCCCCTGTCCTCTCACTCACCCCCAGCCCCATCTTTAATGGTCCCTAGTGGCCCCACTGTCCGCTGTAGCCTGTGTCCAGAGCAGCCTACCTGTGGGTGGCTGTCTACTGCCGTCCCACACACTGGGGCAGGCACAGGCTGAGCACCTGCTTGCCTTGCTCACACTTAGTCACCGGGACCTTGCCCAGGATATAGTAGGTGTTTTAGGCAGGTGGAGGGACAAGATCCAGTGGGGGAGAGGCTGGAGGTCATACCAAGACTGGGGAAGACTGGGGAAGCAGGGTCCCTGGAGGCCAGGCTCTGCCCTGACTCACCGTCCTCCGGGGGTGCTGGGAAGGGCTCGCTTCTTCGGGGTGGCGTCCGACCTGCAGAGACAAATGGCACTGAAGACTCAGGGCTCTGCCTGTGAGTTACTATGCGGGCGTGGAAGGTGCTTCCGCAGCAGTGTGACTGTGCCCTCAGCCCTGGCCTTCCCAGCCCATGTGCTCCACTCAGTGAGGGTCTCCCTGAGTGCCCAGGTTCCACCCTCAGTCCATGAGCACAGCCCAGAGAGGGCCAAAGGACAAGGGCAGAGAAGAGGGCCCGGGTAGTTAGGAATATGGCTAAAGGGATGCAAGGCTACACCAAGACCATTCCTGGGAAGGACCCTGCAGTGAGCCAGGGACACGGGGCTGCAGGGCAGAGTGGCCTCACTGATGCTGTTCTTGGGCTGGAAGATCTCATTGTAGTCCTCAGCGTTCTGGATCTCGGCCCGGGACTCACGCTCGTCTCTGTCATCATCACTGCTGGGGCTGCGGCGCTCACTCTCTGAGTTGTGCTTCACCCTGGCAGGGAAGGCTGTGGTCAGGCCCACTCCTGGGTCCCCCATGCCCTCTGAGGCCCCGGCACCCCACCTCTGGGGCTTGCTGCAGGTCGTGCTGGGCCGCTCGTAGATGCGCCGGAGTGGGGCACTGGGGTTGGGCGACTGCTCGGTCAGCGGCTGGCTGTCCTGCACAGGGTCCCGGGCCACTGTGCCTGTCCTAGTGACTCGTGTCAGATCTACTACGTAGGAGGAGACGTTGCTTTGGGAGAAGGCCACACCTATCTGGGAAATGAAAGCTGGGGCTGCACCTGGCACCAAGACCCCAGCAGGGTGGGTGGGAAGGAGCAGGCCTGAGAGGAGGTGGGGGTTAGTGGGTGGAGGGCACCTCGGCTCTCACCAGCTGGTCATTGCAGATGGCCAGGTCAGCCACCTTGCCCCAGTTGACGAGGACCACATCGAAGCAGCGCTCGGGCTCCCAGCCATAGACGCGCAGCGAATCTTGGCAGCCACTGTACAGGCAGCAGCCATCTGGGTTGAAGAGGACACTCCTGGGCCAGGCGAGAGTTGGCTGTGGGTCTTGGGGTACCCAGCCCGTTGCCACCCTGGGAATTCAGGGGAGCCCAGGACCAAGAAGAAGCAGTAGCGGGGACAGGAAAGGTCCCTCCATCCCCTATCCTGTGCCTGGAGGAGGGAAGAGGAAGGGCTGGGCCTGCTCATGCAGCTGTCGGTACCTGACAGGCCCTGGCTCTCCTTCGATGCAGCTCACCACCTGGAACTTCTCCAGATCCCAAAAACGGATCGTCCTGAAAAAGGAGCCACATTGTGCCCAAGAGCCAGTGCCCATCAGGCCTCCACACAGGCCTCTGGCCTGAGAAGCCAGCTTCTCTCCAGGTATCTCTGCCCTGGCTGTGGTAGAGCCTGGCCCTGTACAGCCAGAGGGAGGGTGACCATGACTGAGGAAGAGGCCAAAGGCCATGGGTATTCCTGTGTGGTGGACCCACTGGGGCCTTAGACCCTGAATTGTCTGTGAAAATACAGATCCAGGAACGAGAGTTGGGGGATAGGAGCAGGGAGCAATATAACATCAGGGACAGAGAGATGGGGCAGAGACGGGGTGGACCGCTGTGGTGATGTGCTCAGATCCTCACCTGTCAGAGCTACCAGAAGCCAGGAGGTACTCGTTGGGGTGAAACTCTACCACGTTAACAGGCCCCGTGTGACCAGGGAACTCAGACATCATCTTGCCAGCAGTCAGGTCCCAGAGCTAGGGGTGGGGCAGTGGCAGTCAGAGACAAATGAGGCATCTGGCTGTCCACTCTCCTAATCCAGCCCTAGCTCTCTGTCCACAAATCTCCCACTCTGGACAGGCTGGGGCACATAAGCCCCATCAGGAGGGAGGTGAGGACTCAACTAGGGTGTGATCAGCAGATTCCAGGCCCCACACCCACATCTGGCCAGGAGTTACCTTCACTGTGTGGTCATCTGCGGCTGACGCCAACCACTTCCCATCAGGGCTGAACCGGAGACACCGCACAGCCTGGCTGTGCCCCTGAGGAGGGAGGACAGTGCACAGACCTCACCCGGGGGGCCTGGGCGGGGCAGGTTTCTCCCCTGCTCTTCCATCCCAGCCCCGATGGTGCCTTCCTGGGGAACAGGCCTAGATGTATCCCCAGCTAGGAGATGGCAGACAGGGACATTTCTCCACATGTAGCCAGACTCGCAGGCCTGCAGGACACAATGTGGTCATACCATTTAGGAAACATTTTATGGCCCCTTTGGGAGAATAAAAGTACATCTTTTAATGTCTGAGGCTCTGGCACCTCCAAAAGCAAATAGTTCAGCACAGTGCTGCCAAACTCATGTAAGCAGAACCCCACTCACCTTCCAATGTCAGTTACCTGCCTGCAAAATCAAGTGCACAGCAGTTGGATAAACACGGTTATGATCTAGGGAGTGGTGGAAAGCCAAGGGGTTGGGATGGGCCACCCACAACATCCCAGTCTGCTCTAGGCTCTAGGCCACAGTCCACATCTCGCCCACAATGGACTGCAGTCCTCACCCCATGCTCAATGCCACAGACTAGTCATAGAGACTGAAAGGATGCCGTCCTTACCCTATACCGGAAGACACAGCCTTTCCTTCTGATGTCCCAGAGCTGTGGGGAGAGGAGACCAGGGGCAGTGTCAAGAGAGAACCTAACTAGGAGCCTGGGCCAAGGGCAGAATGCAGTTGTGAGCAGAGAGGGGGCTCAGGGGCCTCCAGGACTCAATAGTCACAGTGACAGAGACCTGAACACCGCTCACCCCAGCTGGGCATTCCAAGCCCAGTGACTGGCGAGTGCCTGTTTGCCCCCTTCCCAGGGCAGGCGTGGATGCTGTCAAGGGGGGAGGGTGCAGATGGAAGCCCAGCCGTCAGGCAACTCACTTTGATGCTTGTGTCCTGAGAACCGGAGGCCACGAACTCGCCATAAGGGTGGAAATCCAGACTGCAGATGTTGGCTTTGTGTCCCATGAGTGTGCGAAGAACTGAGAAGACGAGAGAGAGTGGAGGCTGTGGTGTGAGAGCAGGTGAGATGGAAACCAGGCAGAGCTGCAGGGCGCAACTGTGTGTGCGTTTCAGTAGTAACTGCATAGGAAACAAATCAGCTAGAGCTCCACCACCATAACCGCTACTGTTCTGCTTTTCTCTTGCAATGACAGCCAATCCTCCCTGCCTGAGACACTGGTAGGGAGATGGGGAGAGGGGAGAGGGAGGGACAGAGGGAAGGAGAGTGTTCCAGCCCTGGGAACGACTGTTTGGTCAAAAAGAGAAATCAAGAAAGGATCTTCAGAGGCAGCGGCGTCTGAGCAGAAGTCAGTGGGTGGAGGATGAGGGGCCCTGGCAGGTAGGTGAAAAAGTAAGGGCAAGGGGCAGGCATGGCTGGACTCTCACATGGCCCTTGGGGTGACACCTATCTAAGGGAGAGATACTGGGGGTATTGTCATGGCAAGTGGAGGCAGTAAGAACTGGGAACAGAGAGGACACAGCCTGGGCTGGGACCAATCACCTATCTCTATCTAGAAGCCACACCTGCCACCCTTCAAGCTTGCAGGCAGCTTTCAAATCGGTTCCATTTGTCTTGCTTTCGGAAAGATTTTTACTTCTGCTGTTTGGATGAAAGTGACCAGCCCAGGAATGCTGGGCCAAGGAGTGTGAGAGTCCAGCCACTCTGAGGTTTGAGTGAAGGTGAAATAAGGTAAGTTCTCTGTGGCAGGAGGTATTCAAGCCTCCAAATGTATTTTAGACACAGGAGTGTTGAGACCCAAGCTCTGGATAAACCGAATGAAGTCTACTGTGTGATCGTCCCCCTCCCTTGACATTGGGCCTAGGCTCGGGACTCAGAAAAAACTGGGATCCATCCTGGCTCTGCTCCTTGCTTGCCACGTGACCTTGGATAATCACTCTCTGAGCCTCATGGGTTATGGTCAGAACCAAGTAAGAAAACGAAGTGCTTAGCATACATAGGCTGGGCATGTACTGAGTGCTCACTAAGTGCCAGTTATAATTATTCCTGTCTGCCCCACACACCGGACCTTTTCTTTTCTCCTCCCCCAGAAACATGTGCCTTGCTTCTCCTTCTCTGGCCTCAGTGACAATGCACCACCCAGATCTATGGCCATCTGGAACCTCCCTTGTCCCCAGGGTGTCTGGTGAGCACTTGCTGAGCAATGTCGCTGCATTAGGTCACCGAGTCCCTCCAACCAGGCCAGGAGGTAGGTGAGGGCTCCGAGCACAGTTGCCAGCCCGAGGCTGAAGAGTGGTGTACAGGGCTGGAAACTGGGCCCGCTCTGCCACTTCAGCGGCACCCTTCACAGTATGCTTCAACTACGAGGGAGGGGTTGATGCTGGGGCCACAAGTCCAGGGCCACTGTCATCCTCATCTGCCTGAAGGACACAGTCCATGTTTCATGTGGCCTCAGTGCAGGGCATCGGGTGCTGGAGCTGGGACTATGCCCCTTCGCACCAGGGAGTACGACTAGGTGCCTACCACATCCATCCTGTAAAGGTCCAACTCAGCCGCATCAGCCTCCTTGCCCTGTGCTGCCAGGGCCCCTCTGCTGGCTAAGGAGCCCCAGGTACATGCTGCCTACTCCATGCCATCCCTAATCCACTCACTTTGCATCTCCCAGCCAGGAGACTGAAGTTCTGCCCTGCCCTGCGCAGTTGTGGCAGGTCCCACCCCTGCGTGGGCCAGCTTCTTAGGGCACTCACTGCCTTCCCTTCCTGGGATCCGCTGGCTGGCCCGCCCTCACCCGCAGGCTGTGCTGGGGAAAGCAGGCGGACCACATTCTTCCGAACTGACTTCTGCCCCTGCTTGCTCAACTCTTTTGGGAAATGTCCAGACTTGGTCAGAGGACCCTGGAACTGCAGAGTAGAGAGCACTCAGGTGTGCCTGCCCTGTGCAGGGACTTCCCAGCCTCTCAGTGGACTGGCTGCACAGCCTTTGTCTGAGTCTTCCTGCACTGGGCTGATTTCAAGGTAACTAACATGATGGGTGGCTCTGAGCCCTGTCTGCACCTGGCCTTTTGTCACTGACATGCTCTGCTGAGTGGGGTGGGCCTGAGGTCCTAACACCTCTGCTGAGGGCCAGCTTCTCTTCCATCTGGGAAGCTCCCAACTCAAAAAAGCAGATGGCAGAGTGGAGAGCACAGGGATGGGAGTCCTGACACCAGGATTCAAGTTCCAGGTTCTGTTGATGAGAGGGCCCTGCCAACATGGCTCTGCATCAGAACCTGCTGGAAGCTTACCCAACACAGGGTGTAGGGCCCACCCCACTACCAACCAGGCTCTTGGGTGGTCTGGGGCCTGTGTGAGAAGCTCCTGTGCAGCAGCCACCTGGGAACCAGTGCCCCGGAAGCTGAGGTCTTCAGTTTCTATTTCTTAGCCCCTCAAGGAATCACTCATGTGTCCCTTATGAGTGAAATACTGTGGCCAACAAGGACTGGGATGGGGACACAGCATTCTTGGCTTCTCCCTCTGGTCCCTGTTCCTCAGTGAATTGTCAATGGTTATGTGCGTGGATTCAGATCCACACAGAAGTTTCTGGGGGCTGCCCTTAACCCAAACTGGTCACCTTCTCATCCTGGGCATGCTCTTTGAAGCCTGCTCGAGGCCAAAGCTGTCTGAACATAACGGCCCTGGTCCTGGTGTGGCTGAGCAGCAGGGCCACGTGCCAAGAAGCAAGGCATGCAAGCTGTTTGTCCTCAAGGGGTCCTGGAGCTCTGTCATTCTTCAATAGACACTTGCAGGTTGGGCAAGTGTCACTCGAGTTCCAGGGGCACTGTCCTTCCTGAAGACCATTTGTATAAGACCACTACCCTTCTGGGGCAGAATGAACCTCACCACTGGGTTTGCATGGCTGATGGGCACCATCCTGCAGCAGATGTGGAGATGGACCAGAGGCAAGGCCCAGGAGAAGCTATAAGGTTCAATCAGGCAGAAGGGACTGTCTGGCAAAGGCAGCCTCCGCAAAGCCCAGACTCTCACAGGCTGTGGAAGATGACCTCCTGCCTGGCATACCCGGAAGCAGCAAAAACAGAAGCTCCATTTGCAAGTCCCATGCTGGCCTGTGCCACGTTCCACAGAACACACCGAGTTAGCCAGCAAAACTGAAAAATGGGTGAATTCCACATATATGTTCAGATTTCCAGATTGTTTTGATAAATCTGCAGGGCTGGCAGTGCTGTACCTCCTGCCACATGACAATGGCCACTGAGCCTGTGTGGCAGCCCACCTGCAGGGAAACCAGGGGGCCCTGAACTGACAGCAAGTTCCAGACTAAGAGGACCCAGCGAGGAACCAGCTCAGGGATGAAAACGGACCCTCACCAAGGCTTGTGTGAAACATCACAATGCTGGATGCAGCTCCTACAAGCTTGGTGTGGGGGAAGACAGGAAGGGAGGAAGCAGATACTACCTAAGAATGTGACCTAACAATAAATAGCATTGGCCCAGACTCTAAGAGGCAATGGAGCTGCATCTTCAAAATCCCGAGGACCAATTATTTCCAACCCAGAACTCTACACGCAAACTTTAAAAGAGAGGAGTAGAACAGTCACTTTTGGCCAGGGACAGCCACTAACACTGTGCCTGCCAAGCAACCTTTCACAGTAAGCCATGGGATGATGGGCTCCATCTCTGGAGGAAGAAACCAGGAAGATGATGCCACACAAGGGGCTGGGAGGGCTTCACCTCTCCATGCTCCCAGGCACTAGGACCTGAGGAACACAGCTCTGAGAAGAGACACCTGGGTGATGGGATGGGCTTGAAGGGAACAGGAGGTTTACTCTTCTGGTTGAGAATCTGGGATGAATTGGTAGCAGAGAAGAAAAGAGGAACACTTATCAACTCCAGGGAAATCAAGTTATAGAAATAAATGTAACCAGTTGTGAATAACATTCCTGGTGCCCTCACAACAGAAATGCTGACCACAGCTGGGCATAGGGGGGCACGCTTGTAATCCTAGCACTGGGAGGCTGAGGCAAGTGGATCACCATGAGTTTGAGGCCTGGATGACATAGTGAGCTTAAGGCCAGCCTAGATTACATAGCTAGACCCTGTCACACACAAAACAAACAAACAAACAAAAAACAACCAACCAAACAAACAAAAACACTGACCACCTAAATGGTGAAAATGGGAGAAGGGACAGAAAAATGTGAACATGGGGTTGGGGTGGCTGGGAGAGCCAAACCTTTGTCTCCCATAGCAGGAAGTATTTAAGGTACACATTTATTAAAGAAGAGAAAAAAGAGATTGCAGTATCACCTTGTTGTTTAGAAACGAGGATGCTGCTGGCACAATGACAGGTGAAGGACAGAAAAGTGAGGGTTTGGAGACTGGGAAGGAGCGGAACAAAGGCTTCCTCTTCCCATCATGACTGATTCTAGAACCACCTGCCTGGACGCTAAACCACATATTTAAATTTCTATCAAGAAAAACCAAATCAAGACAAACATTACAAGCACCAGAAGACCTGGCCACCTGAGGCACATGTCCCTGAAGTAACTCAGCAGGGCTCAGTATGGGCTGCCCCAAGTTGGGGGACCTGCACCCCAGTTCTTCACAGCTCCCCCCACACGGCCACCCACTCACTCATGTGTCCTGCAGGGTCCCCAGCAGCAGCTGATATCTTTCCGGATTCCAAATGTAACCCCCTCCCACCCGTGCATCTGCCCTTCCCCATGGTTTGTTCATTCAGACATTCTCGGTGCCCCTCAGTGCCAGCCGCTGAGGTGACAACAGCCCTCGCTGCTGCCAGGCTAACAGGCAGGTGCCCCCCCCAATCTGGTCACATGGAAAAAGTGGCGCAGCCCTGCCTGAGCCCAGGCATGTGAGGAAGGACAGTGAGAGAGGGCCTACTTTTGGCAGCTTCCAGGTCCCAGATGCGGATGGAGCCCGACTGTGAGCCGGCCACAATGAGCTCCTCGGGGGTGTTGAGGCGGACACTCTCCACTGGGGACGTGTGACCCGTCAGGCTCTGTGGAGAGAGGGCGGCAGCTTCACGGCACTGCAGGGACACCCCTAGGCTGCTGTCCTAAATCCGGGGTCCCAGGGAAAGACTTCAGCGAGGAGTAGCTAAGGGAGAGGCTGCTCCGTGGGGCCCTACGTGACCCTCCTGCAGACCATTTCTGCACGACCAACTCTCCCAGCTACAGCTGCCAGGAATGCAAGGCAGCAAAACCCCACTCATCCTCCAACCACCTCCCCTGTTGTTCCTGGTATGGGTGTCACCTACAGAAATGGCCCTGGGCCTCTCGAAGGGGAATGGCTCATCAAGATAAAGAAAGGGCCTTAACCAGGTGTGATGGTGCACACGTGTAATCCCAGCACTTGGGAGGCTGAGGCAGGTGGATCACAGTGAGTTCCGGGTCAGCCTGGGCTACATAGTGAGTTCAAAGCCAGCTTGAACAATATGATGAGACCCTGTCTTAAGAAACAGATAAATGGACACCAATCCTTTGGTCCTGAATCCAGATGACCATTTTCTAGGCTGCTCGCATCCCCACTCTGTCCAGCACTGCACTCAGCGGGGAAGCTATGGCAGGTTCACCTCACCCCTTTGGTTTCCTGGCTCAGGGGGCTCCCAGCCCAGTCAGGGACCCTGCTATAGACCTAGGAGGCCAGGGAGTGTCTCTGCTGGAGGACAAGTGGATTCTCACCCACCCAGAGCTGGCAGAGCTGGGTTTGGCTGTACCTTGTCTCACCACTGAGACTGGTAGGTGCCAGCATCTCCAGCTTTCTGGAGAGGAGGCTGGAAACTAAGTCCACGGGGTCTGTCATTCTTTGCCTGGTCCCGGCCACCCCAAGGGACAATGGCGACTCCATTAGTGCTTGTTAAAATGACATTTCCACTGGGAATTGGGCAGGGGATCTGCTCCTCAGCAGATCTACCCCCAAGGCCCAATACTTACAGGCAGCTTGTCTGACTCCCACACAGCTCTGGCAGGGGTCTGAAGGGGTACAAACTCCCTGGACCACAAGTGGGTAAACCCCACCCATGTTAGAAAGGCACATTCCCTTTAAACCAGCAACTCCATGTTGGGGAGCTAGCCCTTGCCATGCGCAAGCCCATGAAACATCACAAACCCAAGGTTATCTGCTGCGCTGAGTCTTGTTGGCTAAGTGGTGGTGTCCACAGTTTCCTGGTCAATGGAAAACTATGTAGCCACTGAAACAAATGAGACCGTGGGGTGTAGTGGTACATGCCTATAATCCCAGCATTCTGGGAGTCTGAAGCAAGAGGATTATGGCAAGTTCAAGCCCAGCCTGGGCAACTCAGTATCTTAGGAAGACTCTGTCTCAAAAATAAAAAAGGGTGGAGATGCAGTTCAGTGTGAAGGCATTGGATTCAACCCCCATACATACCAAAAAACAATAAGGCACAACTTTCAATCTGATAAGAGACTAATCTCCATGAGACTTTTATGTAAAAAAAGATGGAGAATGGTATTTGCAGTATGACACCCTCTGTGTAAAAAAGGAGGGGAGGGAAGAGATAATACATTTGCTTGTCTGTGTTCAGAATAACACATAGCAGGGACATAGCAGGGAGTCAGGGAAGAGAGAAAGACTTTACTGTTCACTATCTTTCCAATGTTGAGCCACATGAGTGTCCAGTTTACTCAAAGATAAATAAATGAAGGAGACCATCTGCAGAGGGAGTGCCACAGGTATAAATCCCCAGGCGGCTCTGTGATACCCAAAGCCAAAGTAGATGCTTTGTGATGAGTGAGGGGATAGAGATATGAGTTAAGGTCAGGTGGGGACCTGAAGGCTGCATCTGGTCCGAAGAGAAATCTGATGGTCAGGACCAGACTTCACTGTCCTGCTCAGGAAGAGTGTGGGTCAGTTCAGGTCCTATTTCTGATCTCTGTTGATTTTTTTTTTTTTCAAGTTGTGTATGTGACTGGCATTTAGTGGGGAAGAACCCTTAAACACGACAAAGTAAAATCAAAATGGAATGTCAATTCTGATCTCAGTGAAGACTGGCTTGTGGCCTGGGTAGGTCTAACAGAAACACTGAAGTGATTATGTTTCTACTGATAAATGTCACCTCCCACCATTTTTCCTTTATGTTTCTTTGATCAAGAGTCAAAAGAATAATAATTCTTTGTGTTGGCAAGTATGGGGGGGCGGGTTCCTATGCTGCTGGTGAGAATGTAGATTGGTTTCTGGAGGGCAATTCGGCAAGATGTTTTGAAAGCTTTTTAAAAAGTACACACCCTTGGATTACATGCAGTGATCACCAACCCACTGAAAGGTCTGGGTAGACAAGGATGCTCACCACAGCGTGGTTTAGCAAAGCCAAAAACCTGGAATCAGACTCATGCTGATAACAGGGTATGGTGAAGCTAATTACAGCTCATCCTTACAGTGGAATACCAGGAAGCCATTAAAGATTGTGTTGTAAAAGAATATTTGTTGACATAGGAAAATTCTCACAACATTGTTAAGTCTAAAAGACCAGGTTACACAAGAGTAAGATAGTAATTGGAAGATATTTTTTATGTATGTGTATTTGTGTATTTCAACACCTAGAGAGGCACAGATCAAAATACCAACTGTACTGATCTCGGAAAATAGAACTGTCTGTGATTAATTTTATGTTTTTCTTCCATTATGCTTTCCTGCATTGTAAGGCACTTTCTAGTCCTGCACCTGGTCGTATAACCAGGAAAAGCTGCTACTAAAGAACTAGCTCCCTCACTAGCTCCAACGGGGCAAATCCTTTTTGTGAAAAGTCGGGAGTCAAAATGACCATCCCCACATAGGTGACAGGCTAGGTGGGAGACACAGCCTTTTGGCTCAGCCGTGGACCAGGGGCTTATATGGATTTCCCATGCGAACTCAAATTCCGTCCCACAGCCAAGTGGCTCCCCTATTCATGAGAGCTGGCCACCATCCCAGCCATCCTGGGCCTTCCTGAGCAGACAGCCAGGGGTTGTATGACAGTGTGTTGTGTCCATTCCCTGCCTGGACTGGCCTCAGAGGATGGGTGTCTTGGGCTCTATGGTGCCTGAAAAATCACCTGTCCCTTCCCCTGCCGCAGACCCCGTCCCCATCCCTACCACCCTGAGACTCACCATGATACAGTTGGGCTTGTTGATGGACCACAGGTTGACACAGCAGTCATCCCCGCCTGTGGCCAGCAGCCGTCCCGAGGCTTTGCCCAGCACCAGTGAGGACACATTGCTGGCATGGGCAACAATTTCTTCTACGTGGAAAAGGAGGGAAAAGGCAGTCAGAGGGCTTGGATGGCCTGTGGAGGAGGAGTGGCTCTGCTTGGCCACCACCGATAGAACCAGAAGCTGTCAGGGCTGAAAGACCATTGAGCCTCAGATTTCAGTCATTCTGTCCTGCCTCAAGGCCTCCTGAGCTCTTCTTTTTATGCACATTAACCGGCAACTGACTGGACTGAACAGATGGCAAGGCCCTCCACAGCCACAAATTCAAACAACCGACAGTTAAAAATATTTGGAGGAAAAAAATGCACGTGTACTCAACAGGTACAGACTTTTTGTGTCATTATCCCTAAATACCACATGGTAACAACTATTTACATAGTGCTCAAACTGTACCAGGTACCACAAGTAACCCAGAGTGGCTTAAAGTCCACAGGAGGATATGGGTCGGTGATGTGCAAATCCTGCATGGTTTCATCAAGCCACTCGGCATCTGTGGAACCTCAGTTTCTGAGCACAGGGGTCCTGGAACCAATCCTACATAGATACCGAGGACAACTACTCACCAAAAGTTGTTGTTTCTTTTTTTACCCCCAAAAGAAAATGTAACACCACTGAGCTGCACAGGGGCCGGTCTGAGCTCAGCTAGGTGCCACTGTGGGGCCTCAAAAAAGCTGCCTAACCTCTGAAGGCTGGTCCTTGCCTGGTAAGTGACAACAGTCTGTCCCGGGGGGTGCTGAAGGTCTGTGAGCTGGCCTGAGCTACTACTCTGAAGGGAGTAAGTGCTTGTGGCTGTTAGCAGGATAAGGACTGGTTAGCAAGACAGGGGGCCACGGGGTTTCTGAGGCGGTGGCAGAAGGCAGCAGACAGACAGATAGATGGGTGGGGGGAGGGCTGACCAGAGACAGATCAGAGATAAGACCTATGGGCAGCTACCAGGGCCCTGGGCTGCAGCCGAGAACCTCCAGGAGCCTTGTTAGGACTCTGAAAAAAAAACAAAACAAGGGTGAGGAACTAAAAGGTGGCCCAGGCACCCCCAGCCAGTCCCTGGGTGAGCTCTTCCCAGGAAGGAGGAGGAGAAAAGACAGGTCTCCCCACAGAGGCAAGGGAAAACCCCAGGTGCTGACGCCCCGAGGCAGCTGGGAGGCTGGCTTGGTGATGCGGAGAAGGGTGTCACAGCTTCCGCAGGGCCCTTCCTCCACCCCAGCTCAGGCTCCACCCTGCCCAAGTGGCTCTGGTGCAGGCTGCAGACCACAAGGAAGCTGGAGAAGGGCCAGGAAATCCCAGCAGCACGGCTCAGAGGGGCTATCAAAGATGCTTAAGGGTTTGACCCTTCCCAAGAGGGCCTGGCCAGGGCACCCAGCCCAGCAAGGGCAAGAGCTCCCTGCAGGTTCAGACATCGGCCATCTGGATCCAAGGAAGCTGGGCCCTTTTCTAGTGCTCATCTCAACAGCAGAGCCTTCTGTCCTCTGGACACTTAGGGACAGGGGCATGGGGCCCTAGCCACAGACACTTGTGTGTTCAAGAACTTCTGCTCAACCCAGCAAGACACCAGTGTACCTGTTTTCTAAGCATTCTGCTCTCAAGCTTTGAGCCCTGTCCCCATCTCAGAAGCCACTCTCTTTCTGCACTGCACCTCTCTCTGGACCCACCTGGAGGCCTCCATCATCTGTCCTGGCTCTTCCACTTCCCAGGGAAGTTCTGGCTAAGCTCCACCTCACTGGGCCTCAGCACCTCTGGAGGACCCTGGAGGACCCTACCATGAGTTCATAACACAAGTACTTCCAGGGCCTAGCCCTGGGAGGCTGTGGGCAATGAGGAGAAAGGCGTCCTGCCTTTGAGCCAGTGTGACCAGATGGTCCCTGGGCCAGGCAAGGAACTGAAAAAGGCACAGACTTGAGGTGAAGCCTCCTCTCTCTAAGCAGCTGAAAAGATGGGCAGATGTGGGGCACAGCTGAGAGCTACCCCTCTAGTCTGGCTTGAAGGACATGCCTGGGACCTGATTTTAATGCCAAGAGATCCACATCCTCAGCATGTCCTCTGGCAGGACAGATGACAGCTGCTGTACTGCCCACCCCATGGTGCAGGCCCTCAGCAGTTTCCCAGGCTCCAAAGCTGGGGAACGCTTTGCCTGCTGCCAGGGGAGCTGAGGACTTGTATCTCAGAAGAAAAGTGCAAAGAACCGGGCATAATTGACCTAAGATGGCCAAATTCCCTCTGATCCCTACCAGACTCTACAGCCTCAAGGAGCCAGCGGTCATATGGCTTCAAGCACCTCAGGCATCTTATGACCAGGGAAACCACTGTGCACATGAAATTGTCAGCAGATGCCCAATATATCTGGTCACATCACATTACTTCCTGTTAAATACACTGAGGGCTTGGCCTTGCCTTTAACATAAGGTCAAAGCCTCAAAAGGGCTATGGTCATGAGGCCCTGCAGAATTCACTAGTGTCATCTGGTACCACATTCTCCCTGCCACTGTGCCACAGGTCCTGGCCTCCCTTAAGTACTTGTTATACACCAAGCTTTCTACCTCAGGGCCTCTGCGTTTGCTGTTCATGCATCCCTGCCTCATCCCATATCATCTGCTACCCGAAAGCACACACACCAGCATGCAATTAGAGGAGGATTGGAAATGGGTGGATGTGATTAATCAATTCCTACCTGATGGTCTCCCCAGGTGGGACTCCCGTTGTATAATGACTTTGTCTATTTTGTCCTTCACTGGCTCATGTACAGGAAAGACCAGCTGTTTAAGCATGAATATATAATCCTGATAAAATCAAAGCCACTCTGTGCAAAGTATACCCTCCTTCAAGAACCTTTATAAAAGGGTTGTTCACAGCCTAGAGCTTTCAAGAACTGAAAATAGCCCACACTCTCACTTTACAAATGAGGAAAGTGGTGAAGCCTTACCCCCAGCTCATGAAAACAGCTCAGGGAGTATGCAGCAGAGGGTGGCCAGGTAGAACACATCAAGTCTATGCCAACATGTGACAGCTGGGGTAGGGCCCACTGTGGCGTCAGTGTGTAGAGCAGTTCTGCAAACATGGTTTTGGGAACCTTTGGGATCCTCAAGATCCTTTTGGAGGGCACAAAAGGACAAAGCAATTCTGTAATACTACTAACATGATATTTGGCTTTTGGGCTCTCATTTGCTCACAAGCACACAGTAGTTTTCTAGAAGATACATGACGTGGTGACATCATCAAACAGTGTCACATTTGATTACACATTCTTGGGTTTTAGAAGTCCCAGAAATGTTTCTAACAGTGGTAAATAGTGATAGGTGTAAATTCCATGAAGAAAAGCACACTGAGGCCTTCAATTTTTAAGAGATAAAGGGTTGGGCTGGGGATTTAGCTCAGTGGTTCTGCTGCCTGCCTCAAAATCACAAGGTCCCAAGTTCAATCCCCAGTACAAAAAAAAAAAAAAAAGAGAATAGAGGGTCTTGGATCAAAGTGTTTAGAAGCACTAGCATAGTGATGATGGGACTGAGCTCGTGCTCACCTACATTCCACAGCCCTGTCAGTGTCCCTCTGCCCACCCCTCCCCCTGCCTACCTCTCCACTCCTACCTCAAGATGCTCTCACTTGGCCACAGAAGTCTGACTCACAAGATGTCCAAAATGCCTAGAATAGCTCAGGATTTCTCATCCCATTCTTCCTTATCAGGCTAACTGGAAATCATACACTAAGCACTGTATAACATTCACGATTTTACTTGAATCTCATAGCAACTATAGAATGTTACATGTGACTACCTCATTGTACAGACAAGGAAATTGAGCCTCAGAGAGGTTAAGTCACCTGCTCAATGTCACTACCAATCTAATAAGTGCCAATTATAATTTCCATCTTGGTCTATCTCACGACAAAGTCTGGGGTCTCCCTCTCTCCCAAGAGGAGATGAAGCTGTGAATATGTGCTGGCCAGCAATAAGCAGCTAACAGAATAAATGAGGTAAAAAATGGGGACAAGGGGAAAAAATGAGAACCAAGACCTGGCATGTAAAGGTACAAGATCCCAGTAATGAATGTAGCTGTACTGTCTACCTAGAATGTACCAATAAATTCAATTTAAAAAAAAGAAAAATGAAAACTACTCACGCAACTTCCAGGCTGTCTTGGTGACCACCGGGGTGGCCATCCTTCAGGGGCTGGCACCTGAAGCCTCACCTACAAAATGGACTGTGCTTTCTTTGTGGGGTGGGGGTGGATCCCCCCCCCGGATCCACCAGTCAAGTTGGCAAGGAGTTCCCCCACATCCAGGCAGAGGAAATGCCTCTTCTCCTGGCCCTGGACTGCCTGGTGCCTTTAAATCATCCACAGTAGCAACAGCAGCAGCCTGTCCGCATCTGTCAGGATTCCAGATCATGGAATGTCAGGCTTGAGCCATCACAGTTCAACACTTGGCTGGAAAAACAGAGGTGATGGATTGTTAGGAAACACTTGGTATGAGGAGCAGCTTCCTGTATCATCTCTAAGGCTGCCTGATAGAGTATTAACCACCAAAGCTGCCGGAGTCGGCAGCTGCAAATTGGGTTTGAGAATCTGCAGAGGGGTCACCTCAAGCAGAATGCCTTAGAACACAGAGCAAAACAAGCAGACGTTATGGAGGCAGCTCTGTTCTCCAAGATGCCGGCTGCCTAATATGCAGCAGCTGCAGTGGGGCAGGGAGGATCAGGTGTCTGCAGTCCACAGATTTCTGGGAATCACTGTTTTCACCTGATGTATAGGACGGGGGCTGGAGTCAGATGATAAAGCTTAGGGGCCTATGATAGGGAATCCAGCGACAACCATTGAACTCTCTCTCTCTGATGACAATCTCAAAGAGGAGCCTGACGGTCCAGTCTTCTGGATCCTGGCAAGGAACTACACCTGCACCCTTAAATTCCCAAAGACAGAGCTGGGATCTGGGCCTCCTCCAGTTTGGGCGTGAGTCGAGGTGACTCCTCAGCTCTAAAAAGGCCACCTCATGGAGTCTCCCACCCGCTTCCCACAGCCACTTCACTTTTTCCCACAAACCATTTGCCCAGTATCCCCTTTCCCGGGCCCTCTGTTCTCTCACTTCGCCGCCGCTATCGGCGTCTCCCATTCATTTATTCGCACTCCTGTTTCTCGGGCTCCTAGTTATTACCCATCCTTCAGCGGACCTTCAGCTCCGCTTCCGGCCTCCCGGGCTTTCCCCCTCCGGCCTCCAGGCCAGCCCCGCTTGACTCAAGGCTGAGGATGATCCCTCAGCCTCGCCAGATCCTCCCTCTTCTCGAGCCATGCGGAGTACAGGCTCTAGCCCTCCCTGCAGCCCCAGTTCTCTCCTGCAGCCCGGTCAATCCTGCGTGGCTTGGCCTAGTCCCCAGACCCATCTTCCTCTCACCCCACTTGCCCACTCTACCTGCTGCAGCTGCCGCTCCGGAGGCCCAGGCTCTGCTCCAAGAGCGACCCCCACTTGCTTCCATCCCCTGCCCTGATTGGCCGCTGCTTGACAACCGACCCTCACAACAAAACCTCTGGCCTGGAACCCCGCCCACCTCACCTAGCTCACCAATAAGCTGCCACAGACGCTCCACCTCCCTCCAGGACTACCAATGAAAGCAGGCTCTTCTGCCGCTTTTCGTAGGTACCCGCTCCCTTTTCCTTCTAATCACGAGTGAGAGTCGTTCAAGAGCCGCCCTTCGGTCTCTAATGAACCAATGCGGGGTGCCATTTTCTTGGCCCCTCCTCTACCTCACGCTTTCTCACTTCCTTGAACCTAGTTTGCTTTTAAAATTTGCGAGATGCCCTCCAACGGCGGCTGCGCCAATCGCTTTAGCAAACGTCCTGGATTGACCAGTCAGAGCTTGCATTGTTGGAAAACCACTTTTCAAATAGCCAATGGGGAGTGGACCTTAGGAGCGGCGTGAAGCCAAAAATCTTCCATTTTGGAATGGGGCAAAACAGCCTTAGCATTTTGCCTCCTCATTCCCTTTAACTGCAAGCGGTACCTTCAAGATCTGATGACTTTGCTTCTCTTAGCTCCAGATGCCCACCCGTTTGAGTTCTCCCGCAGAAGGCCTAGACGGAAACAGCGCCTGATTTAGGTTCGAATTGCACTGCCGCCTCCGGGGATAAGCAGACCGGGGCGATGCTGCCCTGTTGTCGAAAGACTCCCTAGCCGCCCAGATTTTCCTACACTCACACAACGCTGGTCGGGCCGTTTGGTTCCAGTACATGCACCAACGCGCTAAAGGGTAGGAATTCCTGTTCCCATTTACAGATGGAGAAACTGAGGCCCCAGTTAAAATGCTTGTAAAAAACAAAACAAACAAACAAACAAAAATCCCACATAGCCGAAAAGTAAGGGCCCCAGGACTGGAACCTTTGTTCCCAAAGCCACAGCCTGGGGGATTCCCTACTAGACGTACCCACCACCAGGAGCCACACTAGAGGCAGAGGGGCCATGTCCCCGACACGTCGTTTCTGTTTGGAAATTATTGGAAAAACTAATTAAGAGAATGACATCAAGTCCATATTGGTCAGCCTGCATTCCCCTCAACTTTTTATAAAGAAATTTGAATTACAGAGATAATTTGAAAGAGTACCATGATAGCACCTAGATTTTGACACTTGTCATCAGTTTGCTACATATGCTGTATTTTTTCCAGAACCCTTTGAAATTTATAAATAACATCACACTTAAATCCTGAACGTGCAGCTCTTTAAAATGAGGCCATTATTCTACATAACCATTATTACACCTAAGAAAATGTGTCCTGTCAGTCACCTCCCCCAAATATATTTAACACATTTTTTTTTTTTTTTTTTTTTTTTTTTTTTTTTTAGTAGGACCTGGTTGGAGGTGTCACTCAGTGGTAGATTACTTTTCTAGAAGCTCTGGGTTTCATCTAAATTTCTTAACCAGGAACAATCAAGATTCAACACACTTGACTCTTTTAAATTCATTGTATTTCTTTTCCCCAAGCTTTTTATTTTAATGTATTGATCTCTTGAAAAAATGAAGCCATTTACCTTGAAGATTGTCCCACTTCAAGGATTTATCTGTTTTCTTCTAGTGTAATTTTTCTTGCACTTCCCCTGAATTTCTTGTTAACTGGAAGTTAGGTCTAAAGACTTGATTAAACTCATGACATGCATTTTATTTATTTTTGTTGTTTTTTTGGTACTGGTGATCAAACTTGAGACCTTGCAAGCGCTCACAAGGCAGGCGGTGGAACCCTTGAGCTAAATCCCCGGCCCTATGGCGAGTATCGTACGCATACCCCAGGTAACATATTGTATAAGGTCAGTGAATTTCCACAAACAGCACTACCCTGGTCAAGAAGCAGAACATTACTGGCACCCAGAAGTTCCCCCGGTACTTCAGTCACAAACCCTCACTCCCCAGAAATGATCACTATCGTTGTGGGACCCTAACCGCTATGTAACCCCTAGTTAGCCAGCATATAGCAGCACACATTTCTTTCTACCCAGCTCCAAGATAGGATTAAAACAGAGTGTTATGGAAGCCTGGTACAGGTAAACAAGATAGCGACTCAAGGCCTCCTTAGAACAGAACAGCCTGAGTCTGGAGATGAAAGACCAGGTGCACCCTATAGCTGACTCCTTTAGATAGATGGCAGAAAACCGACCCCCTGACCCCTGGCCCACTTGTTGGGCTTGCAATCCTCTTCCCTTGCCTTTAAAAAAAACTGTGCTAACCCCCGTGCTGGGCCTCTGAGCTGCTCAGTTCTGAGTGCCGTCTGGCCAGACTAACAAAGGTCAATCTACCAACGAGCCTGGTGTGTTCCTTACTGGGTGACTCTTTCCCCCGTTGAGCTCCCGGAGCATTGCTGAGCTATAGGTTCCAGCATCTTGGAGGCCCTTTGGGCTGTTCAAGGCTCCTGGAAGTAAGGCCCTGGGTATTGCATCTGGAGCCATCGTTGGGCTATAGGACTCAACATTGTGAAGGCCCTTTCGGCTGTTCACACTCCTCAGAGTGGAAGTGAGACTTTAGGTCTTACATCCTGACTTCTAATCACCCATTAATTTCACCTGTTTTTGCTCTTAACACAATGGGATCATATAGTGTATACTTTATTGTACTTGGAATCTTTCAGTAATATACTTGAGAAATTCTTGTCATCTGTCGCGAACCAGCAACGCAGAGCACTGTCCAGCAGTGCCTCAAACCTGAAAGAGCAGCGGGGTGGAGATGGGGAAGAGAGAAAGGAAGGACGCCAAGACAAGAGTCTGATCAAGGCGACGTTTATTGTAGGTAGGCATCAGCCTTTTAAAGGAAAAGGCCGAACTATTATGGGCTAGGATTACCATAGTAACCTCAACACCCGCTCCACGGGAACGAGGGTTCACGCGGGAAAGAGAAAGCAGGCTCAAGAAAAACAAATTAACAACACTTGCAACTAATAGTCATGATTCCCATATAGGTGGAGGAACTTAACAAAATGGAGTTACAACACCTGACTCCTACAGATAACGTCAGATCTTTAACAGGAAGCACCTGACTCCTACAGATCTTTGGCTGTCCGAGTTTCTCCTGTGCAGGGTCAAAAAGCCAGTGGGCCATGGCTGGCTTCCCACAGTCATCCCATGTAATTGTGGCTCATTTGTTGTCATTGCTGTACAGCAACCTCTATATTCTTAGCATTTGGGGCTGGGTATCCTTTGGTGTAGGGGGCTGTCCTGTGCCTTATAGGATGAGCACCCCTCATCCTACCCACTAGATGCCAGTAGCATTCTTCTAACCAGTTAGAATAACCAAAAAATATCTCAAGACAACTGCACTAGTCAACTTATCACTGCTTGAGCTAAATAAAATGGACCCTTGTCTCACAAGGTTCCCAAGGCAGGGTTGGTTATAAGTCAGTACAGCTGAGATCTAGATGTTCACCTGGGTACACGCTATAGATAACAAGAGGCAGATAAATCTTCTATTAACCTAATTAACCCCAGGTGTTCGTATGTCAGGCTGATGTAACTTGAGGATCCACTGTACCTGACATAAACAACACGGTTTCAATCCATAGAGAGCTGGCTTCAAGGTAGAAACATCATGGTGAAGGGCATGGTGGAGAACATTGCTCACCTCATGGCAGCCTAGAAACAGTGGGTGAGGAAGAGCCAGAGAGAAAGAGGCCAGGGACCAGATATAGTCCCAAGCTCACGCTGCACGCCCTACCAACAGACTCCCACAAATGCACTTTACTGATCTAGCTATCTCTCCAACCATTCAAGTTGATAATCAAGATTAGCCATCATGTCTGGTGCATTCAGGGGTGCGTGTACCACACCACAGCTTTACTCTGCTGTCTGAGCAGCTCACTAAGATTTGTAAGCCCAGCCCTAAGTCAAGGATTACAGGGACTAAATTTACAAAAGGGAAACAAGAACTTTATTTGAAAGGAAGAAAAGAAGCAGGGGAAACACCTCTACCTTATAAGAGGGTAGAGGGCTCTGGAAACATGGAGGACCCATAAGTCCTTTGTTCCCAACCCTTTTTATCAGTGTGGCAGAAAGACCACACACCTCCCCAGTTTGTTACACCTGATTGGCTGTTTCAGGCCCTAAGACCCTTAATTTGGGTATCATCATCTATGTGCAAATTCCTATATGGGCCTTGTTTTTCCTTTGTCCTGTCAAGCCCTATCTTTGAAATTTATGGGTTTAAAAGGACTTTACATACAAGGTCAAGTTAGCAATTATAAAAAGAAACAATGTAGAATATATATACATGTGGAGGTCTAACCGGTTTGCTTGCAGTGGCCATGGGACCGTGTGTAGAGGTGCTGTGGAAAACTTCATCTTCCCACCCAGAAGCAAGGAGGCAACTGAGGAAGACAGCTAAGGTGGGTGGGAAGGGGGTGGTCCGGGGCTATAGGTAAAGAAGGGAAGGATCTTATGCATCTGAGGCACAAATGGCAAATAAAAAGTGTGTTTATTTATGAGGAAACTATGAGAGGTGGGAGGCAGTGTGGCGGTGAGGCCAGGCCCGAGTGGATGGGCATCAGTGGGGTGTAAAGTGAACAGGGCTGGGCTGGATGGACTTCTGTTCCGTCTCTGACAGCTTCCTCCACAGGCCCATGAGGGATCAAGCAACTCTGAGGAACTCTGCCAGGCGTGGATCCTTGTACAGCTTTTCTTCCAATGCCAAATACTTCAGCGGGGCCAGCTCCTTGTGTCTGAAGCAGAGGGAGGAAGGAGGGGAATGAGGGGTTACCAAGCCAGGGGACCCTTACAGGGTCCTCTCTGACTCCCAGCTTCTCACCGATTGAGCCGCTGCTCCAGGATGCGGATGCGGAACATGGCCTGAGAGCAGTAACTCAGGTACAAGTCTTCATCCTCCGGGGTCAGGGTCACCTGGTTCTCCTGGTACCACTGCTGCTTCTTCTGCAGCTCCTGGTTCTCCTGTGGCCATAGAGAGACAAGTGGGTGGTGAGGGCTGACCCTCACCCAGGCTGCAGGTGCCATCCCACTGGCCACCAGACAGCCCCACAAGTCAGAGAAGCAGACA